AACTGAGAGATGAGTGTAATAGAGAAGTCCTAGAACTGAGCCCTGAAACAACCAACATTTAGAAGTTGCCGAGATGAGGATCATTCAGACAAAGAGACTAAGAAGAGCAGCTTGTGGTGCAGGAGAGAGCCAGGAGATTGTGGTACTCTGAAAGTCAAGGGAAATAGTATTTCAAGGAGGAGGGTATGGTCAACTCACTCGAATGCTGGAGATAGGTCAAATAAGATGCTGACTGAGAGTTGACCACTGGATTTACAAACCATGAGGGTGATCTTGAGAAAAGACCCATTGGAGTGCTGGGAGTGAAAGCCCAGTTGGAAAGGTTCAAGAGAGAATGGAAGGGAGAGGAACTGGAGGTGATGAACATAGACAACTCTACTGAGTTTTGGATGAAGAGGAGAGAACACAGGATGGCAGCTGAAGGGGCATATGGCATGAGACGAAGAGTTCTTTTTTTAAGTTGGCAGATAACTCAGGACGCCTCACCGTTGTTCAACGTGTGACACTTCTCGATGATCTATTTCAGTAGCCTCCTTCTGTGTCAAGAGATTAGGCATTTGTTACCGCATGAATCTCCTTGAAACGCCATTTGAAATTACGCCACCTTCCCTCATCCCTATCCCCGTTGCAGAAAAACCTTTGAAAACAACTCAATAGTTATCAACCCAATAATATTCAAATGCCTTAGCTTGGAATTCAAGATGAAAAAAATCTGGTGTCTATTCTTTGCCACAGTGAATCTGATCTCTTCTTTATACATCTCTTTCCACCCTTGTACCTTGTTGTTGTCACTTCCTCTCGTCGCAACTCTATCCTTTATCCTCTCCATCTCTGCTTTTGAAAATCTTAAATGTGCTTCAGGGCTATACTCACACGTTAGGTGTTATATGGTCTCCTTGTTGGTGACCTCAACCAGAAATATATCTTGCTCAGCTCAGCGGCTATGGTATATGTTGTTGAAAGCATTTTTCAGCTTAGATACTGTCCCGTATACTAAACATTTTTGTGTCTTCCATAGTATCTATCTCAAAGCACCTGAATGTGTTATGTAAAGATGTGTTGAATAGAGAGATGAGTAAATGACTGCATGCTGGGTCTGCTGACTCCCAGCCTCCTGCTCTCCCTTTCACCATTTACCTCTGCTTTTGCTGTGGTTCAGATGAGTGTCACCTACTCACATTTAACACATTCCCAGCGCTATGTCTGGAACTGCATGGCTTAGTCTACATAGAGTTGGGGTAATTTCGGATTTTGAGACAGCTCAGAGCCTCCTGCTCAGCAACCGGGAAGCTTCACTTAGACGACGTCCCTTTTAATGGTAGAAACCAACAAGCCATCATAAACTGAAAAGAAGGAGGAGATCTGTGAATTCAAGTATTTCTTTAAATCTTTGTTCCCACTGAGTAGACAAAAGCTTAATGAAACATCTCTTCTGTTAAAGAATTTATCTTTGAAGAGCTAGTTTTTAAGCATTTTATACTTGTAAAATTTAATCATGGTCCAGTTTGCAAAAAATCAAGCCTTGAGTCATTCTCATTAATATTGAGCCAAGTTCCATAGTTTGTCATTAGAATTCTCTCTCTGAAGGAGAAGATAGTTGTTTGCTATTAGCTTTTGTTTAGTTCTTATGAAGGGCTTAAATACCTTATTAGTTTTTCCCAACAACCTAGTAAAATAAGTAGAAGTCATTAGTCCTGTTAAAAGAGTAGAGAGTTGGGGCTAAAATTCCTTGTTTTAATGTGTTGTCAGCTAGATACTACTCCAGCTTAGAGGAGGCAGTCACAACTTAGTGTCCCATAGGAAAGAACTGGATAATGCCAAATCTGGGCGGAGGTAAGGCATCTTACACTCACACAACTCACTTCTCCTTGAGACAATGGACAAGTATTTTATGTTGAGAAGAATGGATTGTGCCAGGGTCTTTTATGTTCTGTTTAATAGGTTTAAGAAAACCTTTTTACTTTTTATTTCTCTACTTGAATTTTTCTCAAGTCTCACAAACTGTAAGCTTATTGTGGGGAGGAGAACATCTTTGATTTCCCTAGAATGTTTCCTTAGTCCTTGGCTTCTATTAGGACTTCAAAAATGTTCACTGAAGGACCAAATTAAAATATTTGTCACGTATATTTTGTCAGTAGGTATTCAAAGAGAAGAATGATTCCAGGTATGAAAATGAGAAATATGTGGAAATCAGCATTTTAGATATATAATGAAAGCGACTTTTACCAAAGAACTTTGCCAATCTTCCTTCAAAATAATTAACATGCAGATTGGAATTCATATTGCACGCCAAAGAATGGTTGTTGTATAGATAATTATTAGTGCATCGGTGGTGTTGATGTGGATGCACAGATGTGTTCTGAAACCTCTGATCTATGTAGGACTCTGAACAACCCAGCCTGTATTCACAGATGAATTACATTTCATCTCCACATTATCCTGTACCACAACTGCATCGCACACAAACAGGTGCACCAATTTATCCAGAGAGAACTACATTTTTGAGAAAAAAGCTTAATGAATTACTCTGTATTTTCAATAAGTAACTTTAATGAACTTTCTAAATTAAGGATGTAATTTTACTGGTTAGCCATATAATTAAAGTTTTTCAAGGGGATTAAGGTATGAATTATTTTTGAGAATCAAAATATCACATGCATACAATGCACGCCTAGTGTGAGTTACCAATTCACAAAGGACTTAGTGAATATAATTATATGAGTGGTCTTTATTATTCTGAAAGTTAGGGTGGGGGGGACATCTTTTCTTATTCTGATAAAACTTTAATCTGATCGTTGAGGAAAAAGAATTATAATTCACTTTCTTATGTGATATTTTATCATACAAAAGAATATGTAACTGCATATAGAAACAGCTGTTAGTTTTTGGAGGAACTCTAGAAATTTTGCTTCTGGATGTATTTCTATAACAAACATACAAATAGGAAAAGTTTTGAATTCTTATGAAAGTTCTAAAGTTTTCCAGTAGATGTTGGAAACAAGCTTACACAGCTTTAATTTCTAGATCTCTCTTCTTTTCTATCCATCTTTAATACAAGTGTTCAATCATCAAATGCCTTGGTTACCTGCTTAGAAAACCATGATTCATTCGCAGACAGGATGTGCTCCTCAGGGAGGCTGAGTGGTGTAGAAGAGAAAGCTCTTATTTCAGAGTCAGGCACATTTGGAATGCCAGCTCTGCCATTTAGTAGCTGTGTGGCCTGTGGAAGACGACTTAACCTCTCTGCCCCATGTGACCCTTGTGGGACCCGCCTTGGAGTCGTTTGCGGCGGTGCTGGGTAGTTAGGAGTTATTCAGGAGAAGGTTGTACCATTCTTTATCTTCCTTTTAAAATTTCCACTGCAGTTTAGAACAAAACCAAAATAAAATCCTTCCCAAGCAAACAAGATTACTCTGATAAAAATAAAGTGTTTGATTAAAGCGGTTTCCTTAACTACGAGACACTGTGCGGTTTGGAAAGCAGCTCTTTTGCAGGATGTCCGTGTATTATTGTTATGCCTTGAATATGCAGATGAGCATGATTTTCATCCAATTCATGGATTACTTTCCATCTTAAATATGTCTTGATTTAGGTGCTCACTTTCTTTTCATCCCACTTAATTCATTTTTCCAGATGTCCACATTTTCTGGGGAACAGCATGGTAGGGTTGAGAGAAACAAGAAAAATGGGGAAGGAGGAGAACTCCAGCACAGGGAGAATGATGTGAGAAGCGGTGCCGACTCGGGAATGTGAAAGCTGCGTGTCTTATTTCACCCCTTTATTAAATGGAAACCCCCTTTTGTTTAACTTTCCCTTCCTTTCTGGGTAGAAGGGCAGGACTTTATCCTTCATCCTCTCCAAACCTGATCTTCCGTCCAGTAACCTCCAACTCTGGGTGTTTCTGTAACAATGGAAAAAATGTGCCTAACGATTCTGGATCCATCAGATCTCGAGTCCATTTGGCAGGTGGGATGGAGTGCAAATCAGGACTGGATGAAAGAGGAGAGACTGCCCTACGTTAAGTTACATTCCATTTAGATTACATTCCATTTAGATTTGGGACCTGGATACTTAACTAGACATTTGCATAATTCCAGGAGAATCAATTGACCAAGAAATATGGATCTGACTTGAAATGCCTAGCAAGGAGCTTCCTGATTGAGAGGGGCGCAGCTTCCTGTGGGTACCCAGTGGTTTCTGACCTGGTTGCCCTAGGCTTTCAGAGTCAGACCTGGCCATTCTTCCTTGGTGCTGTTTCTTTCCTGGTCTCTCTTCTTTCTCCTGTAACACCTGCTGAGATGTAGGAAGTTGTCAGGATACATTCAAATTTCAAGTGTCTAGAAATTTTATATCTCTTCAAGCAATGAATAAGACTATACAAAATTCAAATATTTTTTGTTATCTTTTTTTCCCCTGAGTCCTAGATTTCTTTCATTCCCTCCACTTCTGGACCTTCCTACTTCCATTGTAAGCTGTGACCCCTCCATAGAGAATGTCTTCTCCAGCATGCATATTCCTTCCAGGACCAGGTTGTCTTCCCTCTGCTTTATTCTTGGCTGCCTCTGTCTCTAATCTCCTCCCATGTAAACTCAGCACATACTCCCTCTGGGGAGTTCAGTGGGCCTGGGTTCCAATCCAGACTCAGACACTTACTGGCTTGTGACTACGGCAGGTCCTTGTTCTCTCTGAGCCTCACTTTAACAGAATCTACCTCTTGAGCTTGTGGTGAGGATGGAAATAGAAAGAACCAGTGGTCTGTTTCCTGTCTAAGGACATCTACGTCCCACCATCAGACGAACATGGGAAGGGCTTCCAGCCCATTTCCATTGGGAAAATTTGTATTCAAGGAGCAAGAGTCCTGGTCTGCTGAGATCAACCAGTTCGAGTTGGTCTCCGGTCACTTAACAATTGGACCACACTAACAAACTCATCTCTCTTTCAAACGACCTGCCTCTGTCCTCCAAAAGAACCTGAACTGACTGTCTGCTGTCTTTCTCCAGTTTGAACTTCAGTGGATGCTGATCCACTGTGACCCACTGCGACCCAGGAGAGAAACGTGCCATGAGCTGCCAGCCAGGATAACGGTGAGTCCCTTGACCACCTGCAAAGGCCACTTTCACCCAGTTTACCTCTCTCCACTTCCCAAATTCCTCACTTCTCCACTGTCTTCCTCTAAAGAATCCAGACTTTGCTGTATGGACCAGACAGATCTTAAGGAAAGACAGGTCCCACCCACGGCCTGGCGGGTGGAAACCACCTCAGGGAGTCTGGCTCTACCTTTGGCAGCCTACGACCCTCGCTAACTTCTCTCCAAGAACGCGGGCGGCCTGGTTGCCGCCCGCAGCGGCACATAGGCCACCTGGGGGGGCTCTGAGGACAGTGAGAGGCCTCCGGGGGCTAGTGGGGCGGTTGCAGAGCCCCGCGGAGGGGCCGCGGGGAAAGGGTTAAGGGGGACTGTTGTCATTCTATCCGTCCTCCAGGCCCGCCAGCTCTCCTCCAATCCCCAGGACCCTCTGCAGGGCCATTCATAAACAGCAGGAACGTGCGCCTCCCCGCCCGGCACCTCCGCCGCCCCGAGCCCGGGGGCGCTCTTGCGGGGAGAAGGGCGCTGCGCGCGGCGGCGGCCGGCGGGGATTCGCCCGGGGTGGCGGGCATGGCCTGGGCGGCGCGGGGCCTCGGGGCCCTGGGGCTGCGGCTGCTGCTGTCCGGGCTCTGCTTGTGCGCCGCTCAAGTAAGTTTTCCGGGCGTTCAGGGGGGCGCCTCTCACTCTCTCCCCATCTTTTCTTCTCCAGACAACTGACCAGGTGAGCTGGGCCGAAGAGCGTTTGCATTTTTCAAGCGCGCACGAGGAAAGGTGGGAGCGGCCGCGGGCAAGGCGCCGAGCATCCTCCGGGCCGCGCGCCCCCTCCAGCCTTGAGCACCTGCGGCGAGTGCGGTGGGAGTTGGGCCTAGACGACCTCTGGGTCCGGGAGAGGGCGCCTCCCGCCCCGGGGATGGGGCTCTAACACGGCAGGCTCAAGCGCTGAAGGCCAGCGGGCTCCGCACCCGGGTGTCATTTTTAGCCGCGTTGCTTCTTGCTGCCCCCCACCCGGTCCCAGCCCGGAGGCCTGGCTGGAGAGCGCGGGATCCAGGCCTGCGGCGCTCTCGGCTCTCCCGCTGCCCCGCCCGCGGTGGCCCCGCGCCCCGCGTCCTGCCGGTGGTGCCCGCGGCGGGGATGGGAGCGCGCGGCCCGGCCTCCACCCCCGCGCCTCCCAGGAACTTCCCCCGGGCGCGGCGCCCCGTCCCTCCCGCGGACCCGACCGGCGGAGCTCGAGCCCAGCGCGGTGTGAGGTTTCACGTACAAAGACCCCATTGTAACCCGTCTGGTCATTCGAGTTTAGAAAAACAAAGTTTCCCTGATGAAAGAAGCTTTTTTCTTTCTTTTCTTCTTTTTAATTCAGAAGGGGGAAAAAAGCCCCACATTCCCTAAGCAACGTGCTCATACTGTCAGACGCCAGCATTCCCTCTAGTACCATCTGAGCTTAGCTGTTTGCAAGCGATAAAAGGACTCACGCCCAGGGTCAGTCTGAAATTGGGGGTAGTTCTGAAGCGAGGTGCAAAGGCCTTGTGCAAGACAGTCCTGCAGGCGGATCTGCGAGGCCGGGCTCGCGGGGCTTCGCGGCTCTTCCGCCCCACGCCCCCCACCCACCGCCCAGTCTTTCCCTCAAGAGACTCCCTCCGATTTCTACTGGACACAGAAAGATTTACAAACGATCCTGTACTTGATCTGACGTGGAGCGCCTCCACTCTCAGCAGTCCCATTTTGGTCAAGACACTGACCCGCAATTACTGATTAGATCGCGGGAGGCATTGAAGGACCACCATTTTCATCACTGAGCCCCTTTTGTAAAGAGGTGTTAGGCCCCTTCGTGCACTCCTCTTTGGTTCAGTGCTGGAGAGCTGAGGCCCGGTGACCCCTCCCCACCTGGGGCCCGGATCCGCTCGGACCCCACAGTTCCGCCCCAATCTGAATGTGGTCGGGCCAGGTGAGCCTCCTGAGTTGGCGCCCTCGCGGGGCGGAGGTGGGGGGCCTCGGACCTTGCGCCTGGTTCCTTGTCGTTGGCCAGCGGCGCCGCTAACCCCTGTGTGTGCTGTTCTTAGCAGATAGGCCCCCCGGGCGAGCAGGGGCCCCCGGGGCCCCCGGGCCCCCCTGGAGTTCCAGGCATCGACGGCATCGACGTAAGTGTCCCTCTTCAGGGCCGGTCCACCAGCCCGGCCTTTTCTGCCCTCCCTCCGGCGGCCTGGGTGGGTTTTTGGAGAGGGCCAGATGCCCCCACCCAAGGCGGGGTTGGACTTGGGCTAGAGTTGGGGTGGATCTTGGAAACGGGGTTTTTGGAGGGGGAGGTGGACGTGTCCTGTCCCTGAGCGCACCATTCAGACCTGTCCCTGGTCGCCCTGAGTGGGAACACGCGTGGGATTCTCCAAGTGGCCCCAGCGCCTCGTATTCACGGATGCTCTTGCCTTTTCTCCTGCCTCCAGGGTGACCGAGGTCCGAAGGGTCCCCCGGGCCCCCCGGTAAGTTGGTCAACGCGTCCCCTCTCCCTTCCTTTAGACGTGGTTTGCAGCCACGTGCGTCCGAAGGGTCTCAACTTGGAGCCTTTTTCCTCCCACTCAGGGTCCACCTGGAGAGCCGGGAAAGCCGGGAGCTCCGGGCAGGCCGGGCACGCCGGGCGCCGACGTGAGTAGGCGGGGTGCCGGGGCGCGCGTGTGTGCGCGCGAGCGTGTGTGTGTGTGTGTGTGAGAGAGAGAGAGAGAGAGAGAGAGAGAGAGAGAGAGAGAGAGAGAGAGAAAGGGAAGGTGAGGGGAAGGAAGAGGAGAGGAGAGGAAAGGAGGGGGGCGGGAGGGAGAGACAGATACGTGGTGCGGGCGGGGCCGGCGCAGCTGAAAGAGGGCTGTGGCCCCGGACTTGGCCTCGCGCTCCGGGCGCGGTGCGGCGGCGGCAGCTTGTTCAGAGGGGCCCGGGAGGGTGGGGATGCGTCGCGGCCTCCCGGGGAGAGCACCAGCGCGCATCTCCTCCTCTCAGAGAACAGTAGTGGGTGCCAGTTCCCGCCTCCAGCGGCCCACCCCTGCTCACCCGTGGACTCAGCCCCACCACTGGAACAGGGCGCTCGAGGAGGAGGACCCTGCGGGCCTCTGCTGGGGCTTTGCAGCAGGTAGTCTCTGCGCTTGCCCTTTCATGGACACTCTAGATTAATTCAGAAAAAGAACTTGCAGGCAGAGGGAGGGGCAGAGTGCTCCTAAATCCCGAGGAAGAGAGAAAAGAAAGATGCGCTCGAGGGGAGGGCCCGAATGAGCTGGGATGTGTGGGGCGGGGCGGGGTCGGGGAGACGGCCCGCACCCGTCCAACAGGACATTCACAACTACTTCGCTCTCTTTCCACGGCGTTTTCTCGGTTGGCATCGCTGACAGAAAACAGCTGGCTAGGGTTGCTTGAAGGTCGGGAACCAGCATCCTTTCCGGATTCCCTTGCACTGCGCCCCACCCTCCCCCGCCAGCTGAGGGAAGCTCTGAGGCTGAGTTGTATGTTAAATCTAACACAAAATAATATTTCTTCAGAGTAAAATGACTTCAGGACTCTTAGCTTCTCCTCTCTCCATGCGTTAGACTAATGCTTATTGAGGTCCCACTGCAGGCCAGTCCTTGACTCTGTCGCTGGGATGCAAAGTGAAGTGAGACTGGCGTCTGTCCTCAGAGAACGTGCGGGGGTGCCTCCCTCAAGTTAGCGCTTTGTGTGGCCTCCAAAAACGGAAGACTTTTCTAAATCAAAGAAAGCACCTGAAAACCTGTCATTATAATTTCCAAGAAATTTTGTCTGGAGTTTAAGACAGATCCTTCATTTTGAGAAAAAAAATATGGCTACATTGAGGCAGCCTTGATGGCCTAGTTAAAGCTCAGTGCTCTCAGGGCTTTGGCGGCCCTGTTTGTTTCCCGGTGGTGGAACCACACCACCAGTCTGTCAGTAGCCATGCTGTGGCAGGGGCTCACATAGAACAACTAGAAGGACTTACAGCTAGAATATACAATTATGCACTGGGGATTAGGGGAGGACAACAAAAGGAGGAAGATTGGCAACAGATACCAGCTCAGGGTGAATCTTTGCCCCAAAAAAGTGAGATTTTGGTGGTTATTCAGATGTGCTTTCTTTATCAAGATGCCCATAATGAGGGTACTTGTCTATACTATTAATGCTTTAGGAGAGAGACTCTGTTTCAAGAGCCCCTAGTCTGAGCTTCTTACATATGCACAGTGGCAGTGCATGAGGCCCCCCAAGGACTGATTTTGGATAATACAAACTGAATATCACACTAATGTGTGTATAATACAAACTGAAATTATGTAACTTGTTGGCTGTCAAGCTCTTTGAAACACTGTGAATTCCTTGAAACTGTCAGACCATAATAAAAAAGTCTGATAAATACAAGGCTGTTAAACTAGTTGCCCAATATATTGGGCATTTATTTCTGCATTCCTTTGAAATCTGACCTGCCTTTTGTTTGGTGTGAAAAGAAAATTTATGATTAAATTATTATTATTATTGATTTTTGTGGTGGCTGAAGCATGAACCAGTCGCCTGAAGTCTTGTCTAGCTGTTGAGCTGCAATAATTTCAGACAGAGGGCTAGACTTATCTGCGCCTCAGTTTAATAGTGATTTGCAGCAGGCTCAACAAATTATTCTTTATGTTTTACCGTAAGGTCATAAAGATGATGTCTAGTTTTGCTTTATAATTTCTCTACTTATACAGAAATTTTGGATAAACAAATGAAAGTGCTTCAAAATCTTTAGAAGTACAATGCAAATAACAATTACAAGCAGGTTTTTTTGTTGTTGGTGGTGGTGGCAGTACCATGATGCAGAACAAACCAGATTTCCAAAGTTAAAACTGTGAAAGAGCGAGGCTTCTGAAGTCATAGAGCTCTGACCCTGAAGGTTCCCAGGGAAAACCGGTGAGGGCATTGACCCAGTCTCCTGGGATTGCAAAGGAAAGCAAGAGAAAATGAAAAAGAGAAGGGAAGAAGAGAAAAAAGTAAGAAATCCACGTATGTGCCAGTATTTTAGGCATTTCCTAGAACTAAGCAAAAAATTTGCATTTTTTTCTTAACCACAGTCACAAACATTATTTCCTTTAACCTTACAATAACCTGGAAAGCTGGTTTGGCTAGTGTTATTCTCCACAGATAAGGGAACTGAATAATTATGAGGACGAGTAGTTTCTTCAGGGACCCAGAGTTTTTAGTCGCTAAGAGTGAAAGAAACCAAATTTCTTGATTTTTAGACTCTCTCTCCAGATAGATTTGCCTCTTGCGGGTACAAATGAGGTTCTTAAATAGATGCATAATTGGAGAAAATAGGGAGAAAAAGAGTGATAGTGGATTTTTAGCATCTGAATTATCAACCAAGAAAAATGATATGGATAATTCAATGGATAGTAAAAATAATTTATAATAGATATTTTACAATTGTTTGTAAATATTGGTATGGTTCATATTCCCCACCTTTTGGAATGGAGCCACCTGGGACTTAGATTCTGAGCTGAAAAGTTTTCTTACTCCACTCTTGGGCTCATTTGACATTTTAAACAAATCTTTTCCCTTAAATTGAGACTAGACATTGGGACTAATGAAATGTCAGTGACTAGTTCAGAGTTTGTCCCTGGATATAGGGGCGCTCAGGAAGTAGGAAAGCGTCAATAATCTTTTCTTGGTCGGTGGACCTTCAACTTCCAGCCTCTGTCTTCTGCTCTTTGGTTCATTGCACAGCTGTACTTTTTCGTAATGTTGACAAATTAATCAGTTGATGTTTGGAAGAATCTGAAAGGAGCACAGTTTAAAGGTAATTATCCTGAGTTAACTGGATTTTTGGCAGGAAAGGAAAAAGAGTCATGGCAGCTATGCTGGTAGAGTTATGTCTTGAGTCTCAGGAGCCGCGTGGTTGGAATGCTGGAAGGAAATCACTGTTGAGGGCTGGCATGAAAGTTCAGGCACAGTCAGCTTCAATCTCAGCCCAAATAGAGCTTTATCTTCATGAACACCCACATGGAAGCAATTCTTTCTGCCACTGGTAATATTTCCCTGTGTCATTTCTTTGACAAATAAGAGCTAATGCAAATTGGAGTTGTGTGTGCGTGTACGTAAGTGTAAATGTGGAAGATTACATATACATGTGTATGTGTAATCTCTCCTTTCCTGCTAAGACTTTAGTTTAAGTTTTAAGGTTCTTTTCCCTTATAGACTTGTAAAATCAGAGAAGTCGGAGCTTTGTTATAACCTTGCACCCAAAGGACAGTTGTGTTATTACCATCCACAATATCAATAGAGATATACTTATAGGCCCTATTTGCTGTGATGTGCTCAGTGAGCTCTGTAAAACAGTATTTTGTTCATTCTTATAGCATCTGTCTAGGATAGGCAGAAGAGGAATTAGAATTAAATATAGGAATTATAGTTAAACCATGCCACTTTTTCCGGGAATGAGGTTAGAGCATCCTCTGAAGGTATACAACTATTATCTCTGGCTGACGCTATATGATTAGGATAGTGAGTTGTTAAGAAATTTTTCTGGGGGCCGGCCTGGTGGCATAGTGGTTAAGTTCATCTGCTCCGGATTAGCGGCTGGGGCTTGGCGGATCCCTGGTGTGGACCTAGCACTGCTGTTCAAGCCGCGCTGTGGCAGCATCCCACGTAAAGTAGAGGAAGACTGGCACAGATGTTAGCTCAGCAACAATCTTCCTCCAGCAAAAAGAGGAAGATTAGCAACAGATGTTAGGTCAGGGCCAGTCTTCCTCACACACACAAAATTATTCTGAGGGGCCAGCCCCATCGCCGAGCGGTGAAGTTTGCATGCTCTGCTTTGGGGGCCCCAGGTTTCGCCGGTTTGGATCCTGGGCACGGGCATGGCACTGCTCGTCAAACCATGCTGAGACAGCGTCCCACATAGCACAACCAGAAGGACCTACAACGAAAATATAACTATGTACTGGGGGACTTTGGGGAGAAGAAGAAGAAGAAGAAGAAGAAGAAAAAGACGGTTGACAACAGATGATAACTCAGCAGTTTTAAAAAAAATCATTCTGAAAGTTGAGTGTAAGTGGAAATAGTCAGGCATTGAAGAAATGTGAGGGGCCCTGAAGTACAGTGCCCGTGGTTAATATCTAGGTTTGTTGTTTGTTTGTTTATTTGCAGGGCTCCTTCTGAATGAGGTTCTAAGCTCCCAGAGGGCAGGAAACATGTCTTATAGTTCTTGTGAACTCTTCACAGCATCCGGAGCATGCTGACCATATAATGATGACAAGAATAGGAACAGCTCGCATTTATTCAGGGCCCACTGTGCCAGGCACTGTTGTAAGCACTTTGTGTGTAATATCCCATTTAATCTTCAAGATCACCATATGAAGCAGATATTAATGTTATTCCTCTTTTATAGGTCAGGAGACAGAGCACTATACAGTTAGGCAACTTGTCCATGGCTGCACAGCTAAGTTGCAGAGTAGGGATTTGAACCAAAATGAAGATGATGTGGAGGGACAAGTGTAACACCCCCCGACCTAGCAGGCCAACCTAACTGCATTCACTGGTGGTGCATAGAGCGGGTGTCAGATGCCAGGGGAGCTGCAGGATTGTAACAGGCTCGCAGGCCTTGTCCTCAAGTGGCTTAAGCTTCTCTACATGACAATTTCATTGCAGAGCTCACTGTAGCATCTGCAGCAGAATGTATTTTCAGTTTAATTCAAAGAGCTTCTGCGTGACAGACATAGTCTGTCATGTCTTATGGGAGACACTTTAAAGAAGTGGGCTGGGAGCAGCCTCCAGGTTCTCCGACCATTTACTTGGTTCTGCCTAATTATTATGCAGCTGAAATTCCACCCTATTTAGTAGCTACTGTCCTCCACTCATGTCAGTCATTCCAGGCACAGGTTGAAGACGCTTAGTTGGCTGCATGTGTGAAAACCGAGCAGGTTGGTCTTGGAGGGTATGTATGTGACATGGGATTTAGAGATTCCTTTACTCAAACATGTAGTGAGGTTTATAAACTCTGTGTGCCATGCACACCTCCAGCGATGCTCCTGGGTGAGTGGTTGGTTTGCTGAAATACAAAAGCCAACAGGCTACAGGTGCTTAGTACTAAGATGTTGGGGCTTGTTCCCAAATTAAAGCCTTGTAATTAGTCTAGGGTGATTGAAAATCAAAGACAGTCTGTCAAAAATTCTATTGTGTGTGTTTAATAATTTCCTTCTTTGGTAAATTTCCAGTAATTAACATTTTCAACTCATTTTTTCCTACTTCCTTTGATTCGCTCTTTGGAGTTATGAGGGAAATTAATTGATGCAGAGAAATGTAAAAATGTTGGCCAATAAAGTAGTTTTCTATAAAAATTCCATGAAAGCATTTTATTGGTATTTATCCAGACTATGACCAATTAAATAAGGATTTCAGTAATCCATTTTTGAGTAGGGCTTTTGTATTTTCAAGCAATCCCTCCCTTGATTAATATAATTTGAGTCTTTTTCAAAATCTTGATAATAGAAGTTTTATGAGATATTTGTGTTTGTATATGTATATGTACACATATATACAGATACATATATTTATCTTTAGGAAGCTGTAGTTTCATGATTCCAGTTTAAGTGACAACATCTAAAAGTGTCAAAGAGTAAAGAAAAAGTTAGAAAATAAAAATGCATCCTCACTAAATATGGAAATTCAGTGTATATGTAGTGCTGTCATGCTTCAGTATCTATTTTATGTTGAGGATGATGACAAAATAAGTACTGATAGGGAAAATGAGGTGTTTGGAAGATATGCTTTAGTACTACACATGGGAGTTATGAATGTATTTTATAGTAGTTGGCTTAAATTCTACATATTGAGTGGCACACGTGAAAATATATACTTAATTATCACAATTTTTACTAAGGAAAATACCATAGCAACATGCATGTTCTCAACATTTCAACTTTAAAGTTAATGTTCTTCAGTAAGCAATTGTCACAGGAAGAAGATGGTCAGGGGGCTTTAGGTGGCTATAAGGCAATGATGAGATTGATTACCTTTAATTCCTATTGAAGAAACATTTTACTAGAGAGATATAGAGACATTTAGTACTTTTATTTTATAAATGAAGTCAAGAAGGTACAGAAACCTGGGTAAGTGGCAGAGCCAAGACCTGTTGTCCCATCAAACTCGGCTATTAGAACTCTGTAATTGTTATATTGCGTTTTTTCAAAGCAGAGACAAAAAATACTAATTGAACTCAGTGATAAAACAATGCAGTTAGCAGGAAATTAGGAATATGATAAAATTTATCAACAGAAAGTAACTAACAGGCAGATCTCATGTTAAACATTATCTTTGAGTAAGAATATAGAAAGGTATTTCTTTATAAGTATTTACATCATACATAGGTAACCATCCTGTACATAATTAATAAATAAAATTGAATTATCCATTTAGTGGTTTGCCCAGGGATGCTGTAATAGTTCTAACACCATCTTGCTTTGTTAGGGATTAACAGGACCTGACGGATCCCCTGGCTCTGTTGGACCAAGAGGACAAAAAGTAAGTTCACCACCTGTATTAATTGCTGGCATTAATTAGATGCTGAAGTATACTCTAATTGTAGTGTTTGCAAATCAACTAACAGATTAATTGTGAAGCAGTCGAAATACACTTGTTCAACTAAAATTGTGTTTTAGTTAAATTAAATTAAAACACCAAGATGGAGTGTTCTAATTATCTCAGTTATTTATGCAATTTGCATATTTACATATTCATACTACAAAAAGCCAAGTACAATGAAGTTATTTTTATTTTTAGGGAGAACCTGGTGTTCCTGGATCTCGTGGATTTCCAGTAAGTAAATATAAAGTGACAGAATTGAAAAATCTCCTCTCTTTAGGTAAAACTCTGCCTTTGTGAAATTTTTAACGCAGTTTTCTACATAATACACACTGTGAAGGAGTTTATGACTTATCTGGTATGGTCAGCATTCTGACTATGAGTAGAAAAACTTTAGAGAAATTTGAATGTCAGTATTAAATGCATGTCTGTTTGCAGGTGGTATTTCCCTACAGATAACGCCTCCTCCCTCATTGATAGAAAACCTTTCTTGCATAACAACAGCAAATCTAAGTAGACCACGGCATCATACCACTTTCTTCACAACTGGTTGCATCTCTGATGAAATATCAGCCATCAGATGGTATTGCCTGTCTGATTCCCTGGCCAGTCTTTTCCTGCGATGCACACTCTAGCAGATTTGTGTATTTCCATCTCTAAGAAGACGAGGTTCTCAGGCTAGTTTTCCTTTCTATTTTGCTCTTCATTCCTCTTTTGTTCTTGTCATTAATCTGTATTTTTCTCCTTGTTTTCTTTGCTTTCTTTGCCATATTTCAGCATCTGTTGACTTTTCCATTATAAGCCTATTTTCAGAAGTGAATAGCTTGCTGGCATTTCTCCCATATTTTTCAACTCAGAGCTCAATATCTTATAAGATGACTTTTTTTTTATTTAGTGAAATTTATCAAACATCTAGGTTTCTGATAATGAAATAACTTATTAATTACTTTGGTATTTTCAAGCATAAGACTTATTTCCCCGAATTGATCTACATATTGAAATGTTCACATGGGGTAATTTTTCAAAGAATGTCTTGAAAAAGTCCCACTTATCATTTAAACATGCTGCTTATGTGAAATTCTTGCTTGTTTTGTCTGCCTAAATAATTAGAAATAATAATATTATCAGAGGGTATACACTGATTCCACTGGATGCTTTGCATATAGATATTAGAAATAGTCTGGAATGAAAAGCTAAATGAATATGGTGTCAGAGAGAACTGTGAATAAGGCTCTTCAAGCCAGTGCAGGAGAGAAAAGAGGACTGAAGAACCCCAAGGGGGGAGAATGAAACTGGAAAGCAGCGAGAGAAAGGGGTTCAAGGCAGCTGATGATCACTTCATTAAGTTCAAAAACATATAGTCAGGGTTTATTATATAATAGGCCCTGTGGTAGGAATTGAGGACAGGAGGATGAATAAGATGTGGGTTTAGTCCTTGGTTATGTGCACTTTGGTGTTGCTAAAGAATGGGCAGTGTAAAGGAGAGGGAGACGGAATGACTGGCTTTGACGTCAAATCCAGCATGAAATGAGGATCCCATCCTAGGTCATTTCAGGAGTGACACCATTTTATTGTCAGTAGCTACTGGATTTGGTGTCTGGAAATACAGCCCTACTTGTCAAAGGAGGTGTGTTTTTGACTCTTTTTCTCCCCTGTCTCTCTGTGCTGAGTGTTTGTTTGGGGAACTTCCAAACATCACACTATAAATTGTAAAGCAGTGTATTGTATTGTTTCAATGTAGGTTTTTTATAAAACACAGCAAATAAAAACTCAAACTGTCAGTTCTTGATGTATCTCTGTGAGTGATAGCAAGTTCTCCTGAGGGCAAGCATGGATGGCTTCTTCACTTTGATTTTCTTGAAAAAAAGAAATTTGGAAAAAATATTCCTGGTTAGCTTGGGCATCAAAGGAATATCTGAGGAGCTGAAACAAGCTTCTGCTACCTTTAAAAGCAGAGCCAGATTTGCTTGTCTTACTCAGTGCTTTCTTTAGAATGAGCATCATGTATTTATTTAGAGATAGATATATAATTTGTTTTTGAACTGGATGATGCCTGTGTCGATATCTATACTACGTAACACTTTTTATTTTACTCTTTTAGGGCCGTGGCATTCCTGGACCCCCTGTAAGTACCATCTCTTGTTTTATTTTTAAAGTCTATATAAATGGCCTATTCCTCAGATCTCAACCTTACTCTCCAGCTAGCACTCTACCCAGTCGTGTTTATAGTGTCCTACCTACGTGATCTTAGGTGGCTCCTATGACAGCACTCCTATTCTGATAAACAGAATATTTTATTAATTTAAGAAATTTCTGTTCCATTTTAAGTAATTAAAATTTGGTCAAATGAGTTATTGTCTCATTTGGAAAACAAAGCTAGCATAGATACATACTTCTAAGTTGGTTGTTTATCGTATTTTATATCATTTGTGGTAGATTGTAAAAACATCCATCCATTACCATGTGCTTTTGATTTGTTGACTTTAGGGTCCCCCTGGGGCAGCAGGACTCCCTGGAGAGCTTGGCCGCGTTGGGCCCGCGGTGAGTACCGCAGTGCATTTGGATAGGCGTTTGTGGTTTGACAGAAGATGTTACTATGGAAGGCAGATGGCCCTAACTGCATGTTTTCTCTGCAAATCCAAGAAATGGCAGATGAGTTTCATTCTAGTTCATATTATTGATGGGATCAGGGATCATAATGGTGCCTCGTTTTGGTAGAGTGATTTTAATTTTTTTCCCAAAGTTTTCAGCTAAGCTTTTCTTCTCACCTTCCAGAATTAGTGATCACGTCAGGAAGTGTCACCTCCATTTTACAGACTCTGAGCCAGGACTGGGGTCCAGTGTCTTGTATTAGACCCTCTGTATGAAATTAAAGTGAACAGCCTAGATTACTACCACGTATATTCATGTTAGGACCGTCGAATCATAATCGAGCCAACCGGAGCTTAACCTCAGGCAATAAAGAGCTAAACTTCATTGAAGAAATTGCTGGTAGTACGTGCTTCATGTGAATATTCAATACATTTTTCAAAAGTGTTGAAATAGTGACGTCATGTGAAGAATAGGTAATTGTAAACTCATTGAGAGTAGGAGCCACATATTATATACCTTCTTGCTCCTCTAGACACGCTGTTTGACAAATTCATTTCCTGAACAAGTGAAAGAATGTGAAATGATTGTTAAATTAATTGTAAGATGCTTTTGACTTCTTGTGGCAGAACATGAAGAAGGAAAACGTATGCCAGGAGTAAGCTCTGGGTGTTCAGACTAGGTGGAATCCATTTTCTTCGAACGGCTTGTCTGGACTTAGCATCTTTGCTGTTTCCTCCCACTGGCGAGAGAGTCCAGTGGCTGACGGAGGGATGGCTGTGGGCGCGCAGCGCGCCGCCGGAGGTCCCTTCCAGCCCAGCGCAGGCTGCGTGCCGCCTTCTTTTGCTGCCTTTAGCTGGATGGTCCTAGTGGCATGGGCTGTGCCAGTTCCCCTGGAAATCAACTAGAAAAATATGGCATGTTTCCAGTTTGTTCTCGGAGGAGATACAGTGATCATTCTATAGAGAAGAATTGGCGTCACTCTTTCCCCATCTCCCTCTGCCTTTGGTCAGACTGGAAGTCCTTTATTCTTCTGGTTTTGTGGAGCTAATTGGATTACGGGCCACCCTTCGATTTTGGTGGCAGGTCTATGCATGGCTGAGCTCTGTAGGGTTTCTAGCAACATCTTCCTTTCATGCCTCACCAGTTTTAGGTACTGTGTTTTGACATGTGTATAACCAGTGTTCACAATTTTCAAATAACTTAGGGTGACCCTGGGAAAAGAGGACCACCGGGCCCCCCTGGCCCCCCAGGACCCAGCGTAAGTTATTTTCAGCTTGAACTTCTCTGTGTCTGAGAGTCGGGATTAAAGAAACCTAAGAACCAAAAATGGAAGTACCTGTTAATCAAGCCATTGTCCTAAAATTCCAAAATGGCTACCAATTTTTTCCCCCATTCAGAGAGTGGGTCTTTTTAGGCCAGAAAAGTAGAGGCATCATAATAACTTAAAAGGTGAATTCACAGGGACTGGCTTACTCATAGTATTTGAAGTCCTTTGAACTTGTGATTTCCGAAATGCTCAAAACTTGGGTGTATAAAAGGAATATTTTCAAATGAACTAGTTTTTACAAAGAAGTTACACAGTAAGCAATTTAAAAAATAAGAGTTTAAGTAGGAGATAATTCATATTTTAAATTCATGATTCAGAGTTCCCCATTTTTTCTGTTCTGCCTCTCATTTCATCTGCCTCTGCAAGAAATAATCTGTGATTTAGGGTTCTCCAAAAAGAATATGCCCATGAGTCAAGTTTTTAGGATATTAGCATATTATATGCTGCTATTTGTTCCTTAAATGTTATTAAACAAATATATTTATTATGTTTTACCCAATGAACTTTCTATTATTGGTAGGTTTGAATTAAGCTTTGAACTATATTCTTAGCTTTAATATCCTCTTTACTTTAGGGAACAATTGGCTTTCATGATGGCGATCCATTGGTAAGATGACTTCCTTTGAAAAAAATACAGTTTTAAGTCAAAGACCGTGTAATCTTCAGATGAATTCTCTTTAAAATGATCTCTCTGGGATATGTGTCTTTCTGTGTTTTAGTTTACTCAGATGGCAGAGTGATCTGTAGCACCGGGGGACTGGTGCTTGTGTACACTCAGACTGAAATGGATTTTCTTTATAGGAATATCTTTGTTTTTCCACAATCTTTTTACTTTATGACTAAGGCATGCTTTTCACCAGAGCACTGCAATTTTAGAAGATAGAAATCAAGTCACTCCCTCTGAGCCTTGTTTTACTTACAGACTAATATTCAGATGAGTGGTAAACAGCACTAGATGCAATTTTGGCCCGGTTGATGAGGCATGTGACCCTCGGGACAGAACTGTTCCATGCAGCGGGAGGGGACAGGGATCAGGTGGTGGCACAATGGGTTGCCTAGAAGCATTTTATTTCTTTGACAAATTAAATCTTAAATAAATATGGCAAAATACTAACATTTGTTAAATGCGGGCGGTGGATACATGGGGAAAGGTTTCGTTATATTCTTTTTACTTTTCTGTAAACTAGGAATATATCCAAGTTAAAAAATGAAATAAAAAAAGAGATAGTTAATGAATACAATTGCATTGGGGTTCTGTGGCTGGAATCCCTGAAAAACATACCATTTTATCATAAAGTGGAGGCTCTAGCTTGTGCACTCTCTCTCTCTCTCTCTGGCAGTGTCCCAATTCCTGTCCACCTGGTCGCTCAGGATATCCAGGCATACCAGGCATGCGGGTAAGTGAACAATTTCAGAATTTTATTTTCTAGAGTGTTATCCATGGAGAAAATAGAGCCTTTCCTTTAAACACTGGCCTTCCTGGTGCAGAGACCCCATGTTGATGGATTAGGCAAGTCTGTGTTGGCTTCGTCTGTGGCTTCGTCTGTGGTCCCTATTCAGTCCTAGAAATTCCAGCTGGTGCCCGTGACGAGTCCTTCCCCCGAGATCCAGATGTTTGATTAGACAGGGCTTCTGTTGTTCTGGGAAGAAAAACCAACAAAATGTATCGGATTGAGAGACTGTAGAACACCAGACTAAGGTTCAGAGGTTTGCCTCCTATGAGGGGAAACGCCAGGAGATTGTGCACATAATGTGTGTGAGTGAAACTGTTTTAGCTAAAAAAAAAGTTGGAAAAACTGTGCAGAATAGGTCAGAAAAGAAGCTTTCCAAAAGTTTTTTTCTTGCTCTGCCATCATAATTACTTCAAAATTTCCCATAAAAATAAAATAAATAAACACCAAGTGCTGGGGCTAAATGGCTTTCTCTCTCTCGTCTGAGTCTGAAGTGATTTTGAAAAATTCCAGACCAGTGGAGTCCTGCTGTGATCTGAAAGGCCCCACCCCCACGGCATGGTTTTCCAATTATGGTTTTCTCTAACGTTAGTTTTGGTGAATTCCTACAACTGCAGAAGACTTGGGCTTAGATTGGTGTCTTATTTCTCACAAAGACTTGCAGTCTTGGAACAAGAAGGGCTTTGAGGGTGAAAGCTCTGATGGATTTAATTCTGGAATTGCCCGTTTCACATCGGCCTCATGTTTCTGCCCAAAGCACACCTGTGCTTGGGACAGGTGGCCTGATAGGAAAAGAAAGGAGTCTTCTTCTCGTGCTGTGCAGCCTTCACGGACTACCCTTTGTATGTTTCCCTTTGTACTTGAAACCGCGTGCGAGAAGAGGCAGGACGGTGTGCATCTGGGGAACCACTTCTTCCACCAGCCCTTCTTCCACCTCGGGGGAGGGGATGGGTGTCGAGGAGGCAGAGCAGCCTGCAGAGAGCAGGGGGTAGATAGCCAGTTGAACTGGGTCAGGACTGTCACCTCCAGAAAGGAAGTTACCGATGCTGGAGAAGACTGAATGCTCTCAGCACAACTGGGAGAGGGAGTTTGGGATGGAGTGAACTAGGGATCAGCAGGCAGTGAGTCATGTTGCTGAACCAGATAGTGAGCTCTTATTATTCTAGAACTGTGTTTTTCTATTAACTAAAACTGGTATTTGTCATATACAGCACTCATGTTAATGCACATGGCATTATTAAGGTCATTTGAGGCAGTCATTTCCTTTGTGACATAACCTTTTTCTTAGCAGCACATGGACACAGATTTAGGGAAGCGAGATGACTTTATGAGCCTTCTGACCACTTTCTGTGCCAAACCCAATACAATTTATTTGTTTGTTTTTGCATTTGTTAGGGTCATAAGGGGGCTAAAGGAGAAATTGGAGAACCTGGAAGACAAGGTCACAAGGTAAGGAAAAGGAACATTTAGTGGGTAAATTGTGATTAGGAAGTGGTGGTCACTTTCATTTTAAGGAATTCTAAGGAATAATAAAGCACGATATTTTACCCTTCCTTTTCAAAGGATGATTGACAAGTTCCCCACAGATGCACCAATATTCTGAGCAAGCATAATAGCCTAATGTTGCTCAGTTACAAAAGCACAAAGAAGCACCACACATCTTATTCTTTCCTGTGCTGCTTTCCTCTTCAAATCCATCACACTCAGCCCTTTTCTTTGATGCTTTTAATAGTCAAATGTTATTCAGCTAGTCTTTCCACTCCACTAAACAAGATTTTATGACAAGTGTAAAATTTTATGACAAGTTTTGCTTAGACTAGCAAACAGAGAAGTTGGTAATTGGCTGACAGCTTCTCATCTCAAGTTCTGAAATAATTGATCTGTTTGTTTCTGGCCTCATTTCTATATAACTTAGATTTTGAGGAGTCTGGAAGTTAGCGATAGAACTTATGTTATTATCTGGGTAGAATTATGAAATCCATAGCATGACTTGCACTGGGGCTGGCATGTCTGCAGAGAAGCCAAGGCTGAAATGTAGAGCTGGGTGACCTGTTTGCCCCTTTTTCATCCACTAGGGTAAATAACCTTTAAGCATCTAAGAACTTGACTTCTCTTAGAGTAGAATTTTTGTCCCTGTTAATTCTATAATATTTTACAAAGTCAGACTGTTCTTATTAATGTGGGTCCTCTAGACTGTGTCGACTATGTCCTTCCGTACCTTTATGGGGTAGTGGCAGAAGGTCACTCTTTTTCTTTGGAAGTCAAGAGCTGGAGAGGCAATTCATTAATATGTTCAGGCACTAATATCCTTGAACTCCTTAGCTAAAATCAGTCTGTTGAACAACCTCAGATAATCAGGATAAAAAGCCTATTCTCTGTACCCTATTACAGTTTGGACATTTATCTTAAAATTCTTTTATTACTTAGGCTCTGAATAATTAAGGCATTTTATTTATCTAAAACAAAACGGCTGTGTTCTTGATGTCAAATTGGAGAAAATTAAAAAAAAATTTAGTATTTTGGAAATTTTTCTGCATTCCTCCATTGAATCTTAAAACTTGTAATTTAAAAAATTCAGTGAATATTTATTAAGTACCTGTTTGTGCGAGGGTTTATCCTAAGTGCTAGGGGCACAGAAGTGAAAAAAAAAAAAGAAGTCCAATTACAGGGGACTGGCTACATTAGATATCACATGTCCATATAATAGAATATTATCTAACCTCAAAACATAGATGTGTGAGAATATTAAATTACACCAAAAAGCTATTCGTGAGGTAGAGGGTGCAGGAAAGCAGATGTCGTTGACTTCTGTGTCTTTTGGTGTCATGCATCCTTCCTCTTTCTTTGGAACTTTTTCAGGAACTTTCACTCCCTCATCCCATGGGATTTGTGGATGGAGCCGTCAGTCAGAGCATCTCTCCCCTCTTCCCATGGAACTTATATTTTTGATATCTATACAAGTTAGTTATTTGGACTAAGTTTAGTTTGGTCTTCAGTTAGGAACTTGCAAATATTTTTAGTGTGTCAGGTAATGGGCCAAAATTTTCACTGGAAGTTGTTGAAAACTCCTTCAGTTTATTTCATGTTTATGTCACTTAAAAGTTTCAGTGGTGCCTTTGAAAGTGACATAAGAAGATGGGATGACAACAGCTCATTGAAGAATGAGCCTCCAAAGGGCTAGTAGATGCACTGACCTGTGAACTGAAAGCAGAATGATGAGGCACGAAGAGCCTGGAAGGCCTGAAGTTTGCATTCTGGTTCACAATTCTGCCTTGAATTTGCTCTACAAATTAATGGAGATTTAAAAAATTATTTATGAATCGTCAAAATCTTTCAGTAAAACGGTAATAAGTTGCTACTCCTGAATGTGTCCTTTAACTTCATGGCTATTGATTATTTGTGTGCTATTCATCTGCTGGTGAAATATTTAAATCAATTATATTACTCGTTTTATCAAGAATCTATGGGAAAATACCCCAAATCCTGCTAATGAAAACTTCAGTGGACATATCCATCACTGTTGGTTTGTTTGTCAGGTAGGGAAATGCAAAGAGCATTTAATTAGACACATGTGTTGATTACCCCATGAACTAGCTTCCCATTGAGACTGCCTCTCCCCACTGTCAATCATATGTTCCTATGGAATACAATCTGAATATAATTATGAGACTAAAACCACTATCTAAGACTCCCATAATTAATTCAAAAATCAAGTATAAATGATTTAGGCAAAACCTAGCTTTTGCATTATATGCCCAAATGTTCTATACTAATACTGCTGTTAAATTTTCTGTATTTCCTTTTGCGTTTGTGCGTGTGTGTAAATCTATAAATGTAAGATATAGTTTGTGGAGCAAGAACATGGGCAAATTGAAACATGTAATAAACAATAGAAGTGGGGGCCAGCCTGGTGGTGCAGCGGTTAAGTTTGCACATTCCGCTTCTCCGCGGCCTGGGCTTCGCCGGTTCGGATCCCGGGTGTGGACATGGCACTGCTTGGCACGCCATGCTATGGTAGGCATCCCACATATAAAGTGGAGGAAGATGTGCATGGATGTTAGCTCAGGGCCAGTCTTCCTCAGCAAAAAGTGGAGGATTGGCAGTAGTTTGCTCAGGGCTAATCTTCCTCAAAAAAAAAAAGAAAAACCCAATAGAAGTGGATTTTTATCTAATATTGTGTATATAATATTAAAAATGAGGAATTTTTCTTATGATTAATTTCACAATTTAAGATCTCCTTGGGGCCGGCCGTGTGGCGGAGTGGTTAAGTTCCCGCACTCTGCTACAGCAGCCCAGGGTTTCGGTGGTTCGGAGCCTGGGCACAGACATGGCATTGCACTTCAGACCACGTTGAGGTGGCGTCCCACAAGCCACAACTAGAAGGACCTGCAACTAAGATAGACAACTATGTACCGGGAGGATTTCGGGAGATAAAGCAGAAAAAAAAAAAAAAAGATCTCCTTTAACGCAGGAGGTGCATGGCAGTATATCTATTGTAAAAAGTAAAAACCTTGTCAGAGGGAAAATAACTTTTTTCAGAGTCAATAAAGTCATCTTCCTGTAAGAAACAGCAGTTGGATCTTTTTAGAATATACTAACATTTTAAAGTATATCAGAGGTATAAAATTAATATCAAAAAGTCAAAACAATAATTAGTTGGAAAACATAATGGAAGAAGATTCCATTGGCAATAGCTACCAAATAGTCAAAATTCCTTAGAACAAACTTAAGAAATGTTCAAGACGGATGTGAAGAAAAAAGCAAAACTTTATTGGTGGAAAGAAAAAGAATAGATTTGACTAAATAAGAAGATACACTGAGTTCCAAGATAGAAAGATTCAATATTGTAAAGATTCTAATTCTCACCATATTAGTCTATTAATTTAATGCTGTCTTAACACAAAGCAAGTGGTACTTTTGTGAAGATCTGAACAGCAATTCTAAAGTTCATCTGGAAGACGAAACGTTTATGAAAAACTGAAAAATAAGAGTAACCATAGATGAAAAATAAAGGTGAAAGAATTCTCTCTACCTGAGATTAAAATGTATTATAAAATTTCAATGATTAAAATGTTGCGGTATTGGCAACATCACACAACAGATCAGTAGAGCAGAATAGGAAGCCTATAGACAATATGTTTAACAATTTAGTAAATGTTAAAGATGAATTTTCCAACCTGTGTGGAGAGAATCTGTTATTCAGTAAATGATATTGGAACAACTGGCCAATTACCAGGAAAAAATAAAAAGATGGATTTCGACCTTGTATTTTACATCAAAATAAATGACTGATAATTAAAGATTTCTGTGTAAGAAATTAAACTATAAAACTTCTAGAAGAATGAATGAATATTTGTATATTTTTGGGGTGGAGAAAGCTTTTCTATAAGTGACATCAAAGGTATAAGCTATGAAAGGAAAGACTGATGTGAACACATTTAAAAAATTTATACAATACAAAAATTATAATAAGTTAAAAATGAAAATCATGATTAAATAATATTGCAGTTATGGAAAAGTCTCCACAGTGTGATCATATTTTCCTAATAATACACACCTTACAGCACACACACACACTTGGTGCATGAATGTGGACATACTCGCTCCCTCTCTCCCTGTCTGTCCCTCTTTCCCTTCACCCCCTTTTCTTTAGAAAAGCATCTAAAATGTTACCTGTATTTATCATTGGAAGATGGGATTTCGCTGACTTTATTGTATTCTTCTCTGTATTTTTGGAATGTCCTACAATCAATGTGGATTACTCGTGTAAAATAACTTAAGGAGATGTACTACAATAATCCGGGGATGTCAAATGAATCTAAAGGGGGCTGAGTAAGACCGAGCTTATTTCTTGTTCATTTGCTAGAATGACATTTGTGTGCTTTTCTGTGCTTTTCAGGGTGAAGAAGGTGACCAGGGAGAACCGGGAGAAGCCGGAGCTCAAGGACCTCCAGTAAAGTCTTTTAAAAAGATATTGAACTAGGATATGCAAATAGTCTTTTTTCATGAATTTTGGAATATCTTCTACTCAGTATTTGGATTAACATCATATCCTCTATTTTTCCACCAAGCCAGCATTGGGAGATTACTATTTTTTCAAAAGACGAAAGGGTCCCCATTGTACATTCAAGCACTGTTTTAACAGAAAAAGTTTACCTATAATTACAAACATTCGATTACTGGATTTCAGGCCTAGGCAGTCTGAAAGCAAGGACTGAACACAGGAGGAAGACGTGTCTTTTATGCTCTGTGGTGCTATCACATGATATAGTGAGAAAAGTTCTTGCACCCTGAGCATGCAGAAGGTATACCATCCCCTGGATTTAACGTAGCTTATGCCAGCATGTCATCATTATAACCAGAACATTTGTAATTGCTCAGGGTTATGTCTTTTAAGAAAAAATTGGTCCCTTGTGCTTTGGCAGATTGCTGCAATAATATGCACAGTAGGGTAATTGGGGGCACCGACATACTTAGATTGAAAATGTTTTTTAAATCAGAATTTCCACTATTTTTGCATATTTAAGTGGAATTTTTCACTTTTTTTCTTGTCATAACACATAATAACAATTGTGGAAATAATAATTTCGGAATATTCATTGACCATTGCAATGAAGCTAGCCAAGGTATGGACTACATCAACGACAAGCTCAGGTCCTAGTCTCAGAAACTAAAGAGTAGGGAAGACCACTGCGGGCCTACCCTTTCTTCTTTGCTTTTCCCTGCACAACTGACCTTTCACAAAGGGTTCAAGAAGGTGTGCAGACTAGTGCTAACCTGGAGCTCCAGGGAAATCAAGCTAAAGGAAACGAGTCAGAGACTCTGTAAGAAATGGCCTCTGCTTTGAAGCCTCGTGAGAACTTTAAGGGAATCTGGGGGAGTTTGAGGTGTTTGTTCAGAAGCTTGCCTTCCCTGAGCCTTTGCTATGAGACAATAAGGAGATGGACTCGTTTCACAGGTGGGAGATAGAGATAAATAGTGTAAGAGACATAAGCTTTTTTCGATCTGACGAAAATTTGGTAGGAGCTTCAAGTTATTTTAAAAGCCATTCCCGAAGATCCTCTGTCAGGATTTTGCAGGCAGCATTTAACAAAATGTGTTTTTATGGATTAAGGATCTTTGATGGGTGCCGCATGGGTCAAGTGGTCCGCTGGGGGATGTTGTTGGTGCTTGCTGACCTTCTGGTGTTTGGGAGTGGATATGTTAAAATGTTTCTGTAAAATTCACAGATTTTCACTTTTTAAATGTTCATCTATAAAGTAATGCACAGATTTTTTTAAAAATATGCTTTTTGGAACGTCTATACACAAACTCTGTTCTTCAAAGTAGTCACATAGAGGGACAATATGTGTCATTCTATGTCACTGCTACTGACTCGAGTATTTTTGGAATTCTTTCTGTAGAATTACCTTCAGAAAGAGCAGTTTTAATCTGATATGGCCACCTCCCACTTTATGTCTTAAGAGGCTATCCTATGCTGGATCATCTTGCACATTTGTATTTCAGGTCATTCCTAACTGATCTACACAGAATTTGTGACTAACACTTCAGTACTGAAAGGGAGCCTAGAAATCACACCCCACGCCCTCGTTGTTGGGATCACCCACTCCTGAGCTTGAGATGGGCTGAGATCTGCTGCCCTGGGCTGGAGCTCAGAATGCCTTTATCACAGAAACGATGTGATGAATAGTGACTGCAAGTCTAGAGTGGAGACTTCAGTTCCATTTACAGGTCATAGCTTTCGTGGGCTAGTCTGGGAACCTGAAGGCCTTTGGTGGCATACATTGGCAGGGGGCAATTATTCCAAGGTTTAAAATCACAACCGTGTTATGCGTAACCAAGTTACAAACCATGAAGCAGGTGGGAATGGCAGTTTATTCTGCCTGTGAGTTAAAAGATAGGTCAAGCACATTACCATTATTCACTTATGCTATGATATTTACTTTTTTGTCATCAGTAACTGTTCCAACTCCAGGCTTGTGCAAGTGTTCAGAATTTTAAAGAAAGATTTACCATCAGGATAATTCTCCTTGGATTTTTCTTTCTAAACTAGAACAGTTTGTCTATACAAGGTCACTCTTTCCTAGTGTTGCCTTTGGTCTTGAGAACATCCTTCTTCTGGATGAACCTGTGTGATGAGATAAACGAATGTGCCCTTCCGCTAAAATAGTTCACTTGTCTTTTTCATGTTTCCAGGGAGCTCAAGGACTGAGAGGCATCACCGGCATAGCTGGAGCCAAAGGAGAAAAAGTAAGATGATGATGATACAATATCAAAATGTCAGAATATTTAAACTTTTGGCCATTTAAAAATATCTTCTTATCGTCAGGACCATCACTTTTTATTTTTTTATTTGGTTCTTGGTAGATGTTTGTATAACATTTCTGTTATAAACATAGGTGATAGAAATGAGTGGTATGCGTGATACTTGTCCAATATTATATGTGTTAAATTATCTCCAGTAAATAGGAGTAAGCAGGGCAGTTTTTGTCATTATCAATATTTGAAACTGATAGCACTGTTGCAAGACCTGGAGAGCAAGGGAAATGCAGGGGAGGGTGGAAGGGAGAGGTGAGGGAAGGCAGGGTGCCCAGAGGACGCCAGGGATGTCTGTGGCTCTCCTGCTTGCTGAACACTGAGCTCTGCCCACAAGGGATCACACGCTTGTGGTCGGAGTTCATCAATCTGTCCTTATCCTGGTCTCAGAGACCAGATTCTCCTAGCATTTCCATAGCAAGGCACACTGCGAGATGCTGAGGAGACTCAAGGAGGAATAAGGATTTCAGCAAGTTTGTTATTTATTGGGAGAAACGAATACGTAGATAGTTAATAACTACAATACAACAAGAGAGACATAAACTTGAGGGCAAGTGGTATGAGGGGTGAAGACGGAGAGGCTAGTCTTGATAGGGGAACTGGGAGGGCCCGTGACGGAGGCGGCATCGGAAGGGTGCCAGGCCCAGAAGGATGAGGTGTTGCTGTTGGTGGAGGATGGGGGCCCGGGGACGCTGGGCTGAGAGAATATGCTGATCGAAAATGCTGGCGAGCTGGATGTTGGTGACGTGCTGTGTGTGTAGGCGGTGGCTGACTTCTCTATCAGATTTTAAGAAAATGGTTGTCACTTCTTAGAAAGCATGTTAGCAAAGCCAATTTGTAGGCCCCAGAAAATAAAAAAAGCACTTTTGCCCACCCTCTCTTCCGACCTTCACCTCGTTCTGCAGAACCTCTCCGGCTGGTTTGTGTTGTTCCGCATGGAAGCACAGAGCCTGTTATTAACAATCACCCGAGAGCAGCTTGACGTTGTAGGCGCTCAGTAAATGAAATTAAACCTCTTTTTAAAAGAGGTGCATGTTTTTGTTCACAAAATAATTCCTTCAATTTCATTATTTTCCAGCCTCTTTCTCTGTCTCTCCTAGGTATTCTCATTCTGCCTGCCTTTCTCTTCCGTTTCCTCTGGAATATTTCTTTTCTAAAAACACCATCTTTTAAAAACCATATTTCATATTTCCTTATTCATATTACCTTAACTAACATTCTGTGAGCATCTCTTCTGTTATAAAATAATGAACCCAAGTTATTTTAAAGTTGCTCATACTTAGCCCTTTTTGTTTTTCTGGGTTTAGATTGTCTCCTAAAAAAGACGACTCCTCATTTTGAACCCAATTACTGTTCTTGATTTGCTCTTTATTTCAGGTATTTTTCTACTTGGTATTTTTTCAAAATTTCTCATTTCCTCTGATTTCTGTCAAATTGCTTTCAATATTAAAAAAGAAAGTCTGCTCGTGAACTCAGACCCGTGGAGTGGTTACCTAGTAACAGCAGTTTGGGTCCGAGCTCTGCTGAACAGCAGTGAGAGAGAGAGAGGGAGCATCAAAGCCCTTCCTATAATGCAGAGGCCACTCAGTCTCACAACACGAGGTGAATGATGAATTCAAGGTCTTTTTCAGGCCTTCCGAACCCCTTCCTCCATGCTGAACGAGGAATGCCTTCTGCTCTCTCCTAGTTTTTAGGGATCAAAGAATTTTAGGGCTTGGGGGTGCCTCTGCTTCAGTTGTGTTTTGTCTTTGATTCTGCCTGTGTCTGAATCTTTTATCAAAAGCTTTCCAATTTTTAATTCTTACTACAGATGCTGTCCGCCTGGTTTTCTCGACCTGACATCTATCCACTACTCTTCACTGTTTTCCATTTGTTTCCTCATCTCCCATCTCACTCCTGCTCATGAGGAGGTGGCCCTTTCATTGAGTTGCCCTTCTGCCTTCTCATTCACTGGGTAGATGAGAAAATGATTTAAAGAAGGGGGTTGTATTTTGTCGTGTAATATATGTAGAGAGCACTGAAAAAACACCATGGTTTTGTTTTAAAATCACATTTTGATTCTTATAACAAAAATAAGGAGGTGATATGTATGATGTGTAACCAAGTCAGAGATAATAGATAGATCTATAAAGCTCCGTAGTTCTTATGCCATCGCTTAGTAGGGTGAATCTGTTGTTGAGAAAATAGATCGATTGCTTTATGCAAACTGAACATAATATCTATCCAGGATGAAAGAGGGGATGCTCAAATCATTGCAATGCATTCTTCCCAATCATGTGGCTGGACTTCTGGTTCTAGATCTCAGTGGAAATCCAGGGTCCCGGAAGCAGCCCCGCAGCTGCGGCAGCAGCAGAGTCCATGGCAGCCATTCTTTCAGGGCTCCGTTGTCTTTACCATTAATGAATTCCCATGGGAATCCTGAGAACCTGGAGGGTTCTATAGGTTTATCAAGCTCTCTAAATAGGTTTTTCTTTCATGTCAGCAATAAGGAATAGATGCAGAGTTAGATTAAAATATCCAGAGTGTTGTCAAAGATTGGATGTAAGTACTTTTGGTGGGATGAGAAGATGTAAACTAGTGTTTTCATATCTGAGGGGTCTCATTAAATACTCCTCGGGGGTCACTGATGAATTGAGCAAACATGAAACCTCCTTTTTATCTGGCTGTTAAAGTTCTTTAGAGAGACTGATGTGCACTTTCACATACATGACTGATCTCCGTTTCACGTCTTTGTCTTGTTTTTGGCAGGGCGCTCGAGGCTTCGATGGGGAACCTGGGCCTCAGGGCCTTCCTGGTGCACCTGTAAGTAGTTTTCCTTCCACGAGATGCAGTGATAGCTTTCTAGCAATAATCAATGATAGAGTTTTTGCTACACACATATGTGTGCAAGTGTCTTTTACATGTGAATAATTAAAATGGAAAAGTGGGCAATAGTTTTTATATTTATTTAAAAAATTTTTAATTAAGACAAGTGTTTCTTTCTTGGGTACAGAGAAATGTTTTTCTGACTTGATGTGCATTTTGTTTTTCTCATAGGTGAAGTCAAAATTGCTAAGTTTTTCTATTTGCTGTGTTTTCCTTTTGTTTCGGTGGCCAGCTTGCTTAGAGTCACAGTAATGATCTCATTTCAAGCTTTCGGGCAGTTCTAGCCTCCTCTTTTTCTAGGATTTCTGATCTCAGTTTTCCATATTCTGACTGCCATTATACACGTGTCATTATTGTAGGCTGCCTCACGCCTTTTCTGGAAGTAAATAAGCTAAAAACCCATTAATTAATAATCATCTATACCACATAAAAAGTAGAAAACGTAAAAGTGAGACAGATTTTCCAACTATCAAGGTGCTGTGGTCCAGTAGGAAAGATGGAATGTAACTGAACGATGCATTATAAGACCAGGCCTCAGAGTGAATGGTAGGTGCCCACGCATGTGGACCTTAGAGGAAGGTGGTCTGGAGAGCCATTCAGGTGGGAAAGACAGCAGGGTACAGGTGAGGAGGAGCGCTGTTGGAGGGGATGGGGGCGTGTGCTGTCAGAGGACTGTCACTGCCTGGCGTGGAAAGTTTTTGCTGAGAAGATGAAATTGAACAGAAAAGGCAGAACCACACTATGGAGAGTTTTTAATGCCAATCTGAGCAATTTGAACTGGTCTAGTAGCTACAGGAAGCCATTTGAGGTTTTATATTAGTTGAAAATTCAACAAAAGCCATATTTTAGGAAGACACATCCTCTCAACTGTTATCACCTATGCCATATAACAACATTAGCTGGATAATTTTGACAGAAGCCATTATTATTGACTGAGGAATTAAATAATATGGACAAAAGATTGGCATGCAATCCCAACCTCAACCCATGATGATAGCCAACGAGGTCAGTTCATATGTAGACCTAGTTACTGATGTCCAGGTTATCTGCAGTATGGACCTTCATTTTATTATACCCACACATCGAAGGAGCACAGAAGCAGTGTGCACTTAGAATGAAATCAAAAGATGTGTAAGCCTCAGTTATTCCTATGGCAATATCAATTATGAAGACAATAGAATTTTTATAAAGAGATTTCTTGAGCTAGACATCGGTGATGGAGCAGAGCCATTGGGATGGAAGAGCAATAGTAAGTAATGTGGATGGTGTTGTATCATTTCAAAAGTCTATCAATAAGTAACTTTTGCTTATGTTAACAAAATGTTATGTCACACAGGGTGACCAAGGACAGCGAGGGCCTCCAGGGGAAGCAGGTCCCAAGGGAGAGAGGGTGAGTTCAGATTAATCACTACAAGCATGTGCTTTTCAGTGTCACCTGCTGATTACGCTCATTGCCTTGTCCTGAGTATTGTGATAATTGAGCGTGGATGTCTGTCCTTTCCCTTCTGCCCTGCAGGGGGTTCCAGGTTCTAGAGGGATTCCTGGCCTCCCGGGGTCCAAAGGAGACACGGTATGTCCTCAGCTGTAGTCATCAAGGACATTTTTCAAAGTGATTATTAACTTGTAATAAAACTTCAGAAAATAACGAAGGGAAGAAGAATGTGGCCGTCCCTCAGAGACAGCGTTTCTTTGTGTGTCTTTAGGGCTTGCCCGGTGTGGATGGCCGTGACGGGATTCCTGGGATGCCGGGAACGAAGGTACCATGGGCTTTAGTCCAGCAGCCAGTGGGGCGTCCTTGCCTGGCCAGCCACGCACGGCATTTCCATTACCACGTTCCTGCAAGATTTATTTAGCTGGTTTTGGCTTTTTTATTCCTTTTAATTTTTTAATCAAGTGTCAATTCAAAATACTTATTAGAATAGTATGTTTGCTTGGTTCCAGGAAATCAATAAAATTGCCCCCTTGATGAAAGTAGACTGAAGGAAACTGTGTATTTTGATAGACTGTATGTCCTCAGTCCTCTCCCACCCCCTGCCCTGAACAGGGTTACATCATAAAAGTGCGTGTAAGGTCAGATGTGGGGGGAATCCTTTTACTTAGAAGGTCTGTGTTCTTCCTTTTCTTAAAAACGATACTGCCGTTCCCATGGGTTCAATGATGCGATGAAAACCTTTTTTTCAGGGTGAGCCAGGGAAACCTGGGCCTCCTGGTGACGTGGGACTGCAGGGGTTACCTGTGAGTATCTGATTCTCTCAGTGTTCATTGGTTTATATGCATGTTTTGAAGATACGAATTTTGGGGAGAAACATATTAAGTGTTTCATATTAACATATCATGTATTCTTGGCTCTTTGGAGGCAAAAGTTTCAAGTTAATAAGGGATCTTGGTAATATTGAGGACTGGCCTCCAGTTTAGTATATCCAACACTTTAAAAATGATCAGTTAGGGAACATTAAGACTCTCGATAGTACTGAATCTTGGTTAGATGTAGCACTTTCCTGCCATTCTGTTTTTCTACTTAAAGCTTAGCGTTTTCGATGGGTCCTCATTTTGTTATTCTGAACATGAAATCATGCCGATTAGAACTCCTGTTGACCTGAAAATGGTACTGGATTCTGATTTGGAAGTTCATCCCTAAGGACAACTTTAGTTTAGAGGTGGGATTTGCTTCAAGAGTGCTCCAACTTGAGCCAGATACAGTGAAGCACTCCCTCCTAAACTGTGGACAGCTCTGTAACTGACTGCAGAGTTGGGAACTAGAAGTCTCCCTCACACTAAAACTTTGAGGTTGTCACATGCCCTCAGCCCCTTGGCAGAGTGCAGTGGGCCTGGCATCTCACAGATTCTCAGACGAGTGATTAAACCCACGGCCGTGTGCATTCTTTCAGGGCGTGCCTGGAATTCCTGGTGCAAAGGGTGTTGCCGGTGAAAAGGTAAAAGATGAAAACTTTTAAATTTATACTTTTCTTCATTTCCTTATAATTTGATTAATATATTTTATTTATAATTTTTAATATTTCTAGCCTGCCTTTTATTTTCTATTTGACCCTAAGGAGAAATCAAAAAGGCTTTAAGGCCTCAGATGCTAATTTCTTTCTCAGCTCCGGAAAGAATACTTTGACAAAGTATTGCTGATTCAACTTCCTTCTTGAAAATGTCATCCTTGGCCGGTATCAAACAGAGAAAGTTTTATTATTTTTTACCACTTAAAGTAAGGAATATATTAATAAACCGTAGAAATTATGTCAGTGAATATTAAGATGATTTAGCTTAAACAAAAAGATATTAGGCATTGCGTTCTCATACTGATCAATCAGTGCTTATATTCTAGTAATTAAAAACAGTAGGTGGAAGAAAAAATTAAAGGGATACAATATAGCTTTACTTTAAATAAAATGGACAAACTGCGAATAGTGTAGACACTGGTCACTATTAGGTTACATGGCTACAGCCCTCCAATCACAGTGACCCACAGCATCCTGAGCTGGGACAGTCTCGAATAAGTGGATGGCGGAGTTGGCATCCCCAGACACTGCTTTCCCTGCAGCTCACTGACAGGGTTTTCTCAACAGCACATCCCCCTATTTCCCCATGTTGACCTGATTCTTTATAATTTTATTAGTGTCAATGTCAAGTAAAAGGGCTCAAAGAAGGGTATTGGAGGTGGAAATGGTAAAGGAATGACATATATAATTGATATTGTGAAGAAAGAAAAATCCTCTCACATTCTCGTCTGGCTAAAGACCTTCATTTTTTGACATTTTTGACACCTTTTACTACTTCTGGGAATAACAAAACAGTGTCCTGAATCTGAAGGACTTTGATACATCCGCCAAGAGAGAGACTCTACATCCTCCCAAATTCTCCAAGGGAAGTCAGGAAACTAATGCTTTTAAATGTGAGAGATGCCCAGTCTGGGTCAGACAGGTTCGTGGTTGTGTTTACTTGCTGCGTGAATTACTTTCAACGTCGCATTTCACCTTCAGGGCAACACAGGTGCTCCCGGGAAGCCTGGCCAGTTGGGGAATTCAGGCAAACCGGTAAGATGCCGTTTTGCCTTTTCATAAGTTATAACCTTTGTAGTCACTAAGCAAAGGATTAGGGAGTAACTTCTTCTCTCCCTGCTTCCTCATGACAGGGCCAACAGGGGCCACCAGGAGAGGTGGGACCCCGAGGACCCCGAGGTCTTCCTGTGAGTATGGATTCTCTGTAGAACTTCTCCCGAGGGCCTTCTTGGGGCTTGCTGGGTGGGCCTCTGTTCATTCATCCCTGCGTGAATGCCCTCTGATGTTTGAGTGTGTGCTCATCTAGACAATGAAACAGGGGCTGCTGTTTAGATATACAGTAGGTTTTTTTTTTCCAGAAAGTGGAAGCAGAAATGAAGTATTGAAAAAAAGCATGATGACACATTCTGCTCTCATCCCATGTTGAAGGAAATATTTTAGTGTGATAACAACAACTTTATTAAGATATAACTTGTCCTATATAATTTACCCATTATAGTGTACAATTCGTTGATTTTTAGTATATTCACAGAATTGTGCAACCATCACTACAGCCAATTTCAGAATATTTTGATCACCCAAAGAAGAAACTCTGTATCCACTTGCAGCCATTCAACATTTCCCCCAGCCCCTCAGCCCTAGGCAACCACTTGCCCACTTCACATCCCTATAGATTTGCCTGTTCTGGAAATTTCATATAATGGAATCATACAATATGTGGATTTTTCTTGTGTTATGATTGGCTTCTCTCACTCAGTGGAATGTTTCAAGTTTCATCTATGCTGTGCCATATATCAGTACTTCATTCCTTTTCATTGCCAAATAATATTCCATTGTGTGGATACACCATATTTTATTCATCCATTCATCAAATGGACATTTGAGTCGTTCTCACTTTTTTACTGTTGTGAATGATGCTGCCATGAGCATTTTTGTACAAATTTTTGTGTGGACATATGTTTTCATTTCTCTTGAGCACATACCTAGGAGTGGAATTGCGGCATCGTATGGTAACTCTGTTTAACCTTTTGAGAAAGTGCCAGACTTCTTTTAGTATGAGTTTGTAAAAGTGTCTACTTTCCAGCAAATATGGCAATATGTTTCCTCTTTAGATATAGTTGAATCCTTAGAGAGAAACTGCTTAGGAAATTAAACATTTTGCACTTAAATTTAACTTTCAAACATTCTCCATGGCCTTCAGTTTACATTCTTATTTTCAAAGTCTGCTGGGTGAAAAGAACTCCAAGTTAACAGAGAAGCATTTCCAAATATCATTGTTACTTCTTTCAAAGCATTTCTTAGGCGCGCTGAATGAGGATTCTCATGCTTGAGGAAAGTGAACTATTCCAGGTGTCTTACAGAGTGGAGAGCGGAGTTGTTCCACTTCTCTCAGATGTTTGTCAACTGACCGCTACCAGGTGGTTTCCAGAAGTTTATCTGCAGCCAAAGAAACTAGCTACTGTTCCTCATTATGCTCCCTGCCCACTCCCCCCTCACTTACTCTTTTCTTCTCTCTTACTCGAAGGCAGGCTGTGAATTTCTAATTAAAATACTTTTCTTCAGTTGACTGTCAAAGCAATGAGGTTGTAGCTGGATCACGTTTCTAAGACAATGAAGATGCTACATGACCAGTCCAGGAAGATTTAACAGTGCGGGAGAGGGCTCTGGAACTTTGAGAATGTTTACTATCACGTCTGGTATTCACTTCATAGAAAGAGCAGAAAACTGAGTATTGTTGAAGGAGCGCTGACTGAGCACCTGCTGTATGCCATGTCACACGAAAGATGACGCGGGTGGAGAGGGCTTGACCATCAGCAGTTAAGTGCCATGGGATGTGTAATGGAACAGACTAGAGGCAGAACCACAGAAAGAGATGGAGGGCATTTAATTCTCTTATGTGAGGGGGGGCAAATGGGAGGAAGTTATGCCTGCACAGGTTTTGAGCCTGATGTAGGTTTTCAGTTTTGAATTTCTGTAAGAGTCCAAATTCTTCCATTGCTCCTATCACTGAGGCTCAAAGCCTTGGTGCTTTTCTTCCATCGTATTTCCTGCCTCAGGAGGACCTGTTGAGTCTACAGCCATCTTTTCAAGGTCTCTTACATTTGATCTTTTTCTATGCCCTCTCCTGCCTCCTTGGCTGTTGCCTGCAGTGGGCTCCTGGTTTGCGTTCCCAGCTCCAGTCTTTTCTTCCCCTACCAGTGTCACCCAACAGGGGACGCTGGTGTGTTGGTTGGGACAGTTCTTTGTTCTCTACAACTCTCACACATTGCAGGGTGTCCAGCACCTATAAGCTCTGTCCTGGAGCGCCAGTTGTGTCCCCACAGTCAGGTGACAAGCAAAAACGTCTAACACAGTTCCAAAGGCCTGGGGAATGGCAGTGCTCCTGGTCTGCACGCTCTGCCATATTCTTTTTTCCAAAGTACAGCTTCTATCATCGCTTCTCTTCTCCATTTAAAAATCTTTGGTGGATCTCCATTGACAATAAAAGAAAGTCCAAAATATTAAATTGTCTGTTTACCCCCTTGTTTTGCTTCCCACTTCTGCCTTGCTCAGAGCCTGTATTCAAGTCAAGCCAGACTCCATGCTAATTCCCAGATGCTCTCTGCTCTCCTCAGCCTGCCTGGTTTCTCTTGTTATATCTTCATTTACACAGCTTTCCTCGCCACGTCTCTGACTCAACATCCCATGTGCTCTCTTAGATGTGATCAAAATGTCAATTCTACAATGAAACCATCTCTGACCCTGCCCCAAACCCCAGGTAGAAGTGGTCTCTCCTTATTCTGAACCCCGTAACCCTTGACCCCTTTTGGCTTCTTTTGGCCCCATGTGGAAACTGCTGGGTCTGATCCGCCTTTGTGATTCTGCATCTCTTTACTCAAGGGCCGCTGTAAGGTAGTGATCAGTAAATATTTCTTGAAATGAACTGGAGGTAAAATAAATCCTGCTATGCTGCTTATGTTGGAAATAATTGACTTCTCACCTACTATAAATTTTTCAGAAAAATGTCAGGAGAGGTTATAAATATTATAGTTCTGCATCAGAGTTTTAACACCAAATCTACTTACTGAAAGAAACATTTGTTTTTTCATTTTCTGTCATTAATTTCAGTTTCATAGCTAAGTTTACACATTTTCAACTCTTCCTCATGAGTTTGATCAGTTTTTCCTGCAAATCACAAATCGAGAAGCTGAGTAGAAGGGATAAAAACCTATTTCTAATGTGTCCTACTAATGGGCTAATTGGAGCAAGTCTTTGAAATTAAGTGGTATTGCCCCTTTCCCCACTGTTGTTCCATCAACTTTTGCCAACACCACAGCAAAGATGATTGGGGTTTTTTAGCACTCTCAGTGATGACACAGGAGCACGTACCTTTACCACTTGGACGATGCTTCTGGCTTTTTCCATCATGCTCTGCTGGGGTTATACCCGGGTCTGGGTGACTCTTGGTTTAGAGCAGGCAAGTGGCTGGGGCCTCGGGATTGGGCTGCCATGCTGTGGCTCCTGGTCCACTTCCCTCTCCCAGGCTTCTCAGAACTTGCTAGAGCTTTTGCTGAGTGGGTTGTATTTGCTCTGCCCTCGTGGTTCTGACTGGGGTGAGTGCCGTGCTGTCTGCCTCCAGTGTTCTGAAGCTGACATGCTCCTGGAGCACAGAGCCTGTCTCACTCTCTTCAAGGTGCCCACTGCCAACCAAAACCCTCAGGCACAGACGTTCCCACATGGGGTGTTGTTGAATGATCTAAGCTGCCTTCATACCCCACCCAGGCCCTGGAATGTTACCCCTGTCATCGATAATTTGTGAAGCAGCCATTAGTGATGGTTATGTTTTAGACGGGTTTTGATCTGCTTCTGTGCTTGAGGGAATATGTAAACCTACACTAGAGAGAAATACAAACCATATCATGCTGTAAAAGTGAATAGATTTTTAAAATAACTTTGTGGCAAACCTAAAAATTATCATGTAGCAGGACTAATATGATCTTCTAATGTTAATATGAAAATGAGATTGTAAAGGCAACGCTCTATAGAAATCATAATTAATCTTCCAGGTTGATCAGCATCCTTTATGCCAGAGACAGGTACTTAGTGTATAATACAGACTAAGTATAGCGATTTATCATTTCCCACTTTTAAAATTCGCAAGGTACTAGGATAGTGTTCGTTCTTTGGCTAGTTACCATTTTGTGTAAACAGGCAAATACAACCACCATCACAATCTAGGGCACAATGGAATAAAATCCACTTTCTTTGTAAAATAATTATGACAACAGAACTATAATGAAATTGATTTTTTCTATGATATTTTAAAAGTCTAATAGTTCCATTTAAAAGGGAGACTTCCAAATTGAATTATTTGTCTGTATTTTTTGAAGTGAGTTTCACAAAGCAGCTTCCGGTACTTGTTTATAAAGAATGTGCCTTCTTGGTGATCAATGGTCTTGACAGAAACAAGGACTTCAGACTTGTTTTTCCAAGCGCAACTTGTGCTTTTAAAGAGAATTGGGATATTTGAAAGGCAGAGAACATTTAGTTAAACATTTGATTAAAAAACATGACTTTGATTTCTTTAGTCCTTTGAAATAAATAATAACTAACACTTCTATAGTTCTCAGTATGATCCAGACACTGTGCTAAGTATTTTGTGAATCGATTCAGTTCTCTCAGAAGCCCTGAGATAGGTACTGTTTTTATCCCCATTTTATACATGAGGAAACTGAGGCACAGAGGGGTTAAGTTGGGTGCCCGCAGTTAGCTCATGCACAGCAGAGCCAGGCTTCAGAGCTGGCAATGGGGCTGGGTGTCCGCACCCTCATTCTGCCCTCCTGAGGCCCTGACAGTTCAAGTCAAGGCTCCACAGGATGGTTTTTATTTGAAGTTAGCTTGCCAAATTCCAATGGTATAGACATATTTAGCAATTTTTAAATTTTAATATTTATGGAGCTTTTATAGGGAGCATTTAACAAAAATCTAAGTAAAGCTGGTGAAAACAAACCAACACAACATAAGCCCAGATTCTTGGGTCATGCCCCAGATCTACAGAATCAGAATCTGGGAGAGAGGGGTGGACCATGGAGGGAGAATGGGGAGATGGAGTAGTGGAAGAGATCCAGTGATACGTATTTCTAAAACACTCCTTGGGGATTCTGCCGCACAGCCAGAGCGGGGAATCACTGGTGGAGGGTCTGCCTCTCCTTTTACAACCTTGACTGGCTTCCTGACTAGGGATGAACGGGCAGGTGTGTCTGAACATGTTGGAGAGACAGGTGATGATGGTACAGAGCAGCCAAGAGAAAACAGAGCCTCTGTCCTTGCGTTTTTAATGGTCGGATTTTGCCTTTTTTCTGGTGCCTTCCAATTCTCTTGTTGAAAATCATAACTCCTGTTGTCATGGGTTTGTCAATATTAGCACTGGGCGGAATAGCCATTTTTCTACCAGCCGCCCTCACCCACGTCTGAGGATGTGGTTATCACCACAGCTGTTGAAAGCCGGGAGACTTGTGATTTATTTAGCACCCCGTGGTTAGCAGGTCACGGTTAATTGCTCCCTCCAGAATGTGTTCAGTTTAATTTACGTTTTTAGAGATTCCTATTTATATCTTGATTATTCCTGTTCATCTTAATTGCAGGTGAAATTGCAGAACTTAGAGAAGAATGTGCATGTTTTTGGAATACATAGAAATACGCAGAAGAATGGCCATCAGAAAATCTTGCCCTAGCACTTTGTTCGTGGCTATTTGGTCATTGTTGGGAAAATAAACATTACCTTTTTTCACACTGAGAAGATTTCTATAGAAATACCTAAGTTTAGAAGAGCCAAGCATTTATAGGATCGAAGTGAAATAAAAATGAGGAGCCACATGCTCTTCACTGCAGTAACGGAGGAGTAAATGGCCACAGCTTCCCCCATCCCTCCCCCGTCCCGCCATCCCTCCCCCGTCCCGCGTGAGTCGGGCTCTCATGGTACAGAAGCTCAGCAGAGCAGGCGGACTGTACTAGGGTCCTGAGCCCTTCATATGTTTTATCAGGGGCCTGCCAGTGGCTGGAAAATATTTATGAACTGAATAATAAGAGCTCATGAAGGATAGAGGAAATAAGATTCTAGCAGAGAAAATCTTTGTCTTTGACTGGAAAGATAATTAATCTCTCCAAAAATAAATGAAAGGTTATATAGTCCTTTATTTTAATTTAGCCCTTTGGTTTGTGGAAGAGAGAAAAAGTACCTTACTCATCTTTATTTTGCATGAGATGGCATAATGGTTCATTTATTTAGAAGGGAATGCTTGAGGTTGTGTCAAGATTATTTTTCCCACCAATGGTGACTAATTGTTCTGTGAATTAAAGTCACGTTAGCCTGATGACATTTATGATCTCAGTCATGATGCAGTTCAGAAAATATTTGAACATTCCATCAGAGCAGATATAGTAAAGAAAATCTGAGGCCGGCCTGGTGGCGTAGTGGTTAAGTTTGTGCCCTCTGGTTTGGTGGCCCGGGGTTTGCTGGTTTGGATCCTGGGTGCAGACCCACACATCACTCATCAAGCCATGCTGTGGCAGCATCCCACATAGAAGACCTAGAAGGATGTACAACTAGGATACACAACTATGTACTGGGGCTTTGGGGAGGAAAAAAAGAAGGGAAGATTGGCAACAGATATTAGCTCAGGGCCAATCTTCCTCACCAAAAACCATTAAAAAAAGAGGATCTGTCTTGAACTCTAAGTGCTGGGCCAAATTAATGGGGTGGAACCCCATCTTTATATTTATAAATGGATAGAAAACTCTATCGCAGAGGTTGGCTTTCATCTAGACTTACATCTTTCCAGCATCCATCCTCATGGGGTGCTGCTTCTGCCTTCCAAGCTGCTCACTAGGGTTAAGGAGCAATGTATTGTCCAAACTCATACACTACATGGGTTGCTTATGTAAACATTTTTGAAATGTATTTAAAAACATTTGGTTTAAATCACCTAGAAGTCATGTGAAAGCACGCCAAGAAATTACAGCTCATAGCTAGAGACTTGTAATGTGGCAAACGTTTCTTAATCCTGTAGAGAAATTGAAAATTCAGAAGGTTTGTGGATCTTGACACCTGGTTCAACTTATAGACAAATGAGTAGCGTAGGAATCAGATCAGGATGATCTTCTCAGAAACATTTATGAATATTAAGCATTAATATGAAGTTGTGTCATTTTAAAGAAAAATGCACTCAAAAGACTACTTTCATTTTTATATACATTGTCGAGGAAATGTGATTATTTATCCCATAACCTCAGAGTTCAGCTTAGTTGAACATGCGTTAGAAAGAAAACAAGCTTATATCAGACTGCATAAAACTGTACAAAGTTCTTGGGGAAAGAAATCGAAGATTTGTGTGTCTCCCTTTTCAAAGGGCTTAAGAGTTTCAAATAAAAAATTGAAATTGGCTCACAAGATGAAATTAGAATGTTGCTTTTGGCGTAACGTCATTATAAATTGTGCTTTCCAAATTCTATTTAATCTTTGAAGACATGCTTAGAACAAGAATGAGTAGAACAAAGAATTTTTTTATCTCAGCAGCTTTATAAATTCCTGCTATGTATGTCTTTGTGAAGTTGCAGTAGTAATCTAAGAGCAAATGTCTCTGTCCTGTGTCTCTTTTTTCACTCCTGAAGTTCAACATCGTTTGCCAGATGTTGCTTTCAAGTTTCCTGTAGACCTGAAATTTACTCTTGAGTTTTAGGCATTATGTGAAATTCAAAATTAACATACCTTCATCACCTCAAGAACACCTAGTGTGTATGAGAGGATAACACACGTACGCAGATAACTGTAAATAAGTTCAATGCTTAAAATTACTACTTGCCGCATCATCTGGATACTGTTTCTATCTAGGGGTCTGGACTCATGATGAACAGCATTAGAGTGCTCGCTGCACGATGAACACGGAGGGGGCTCAGGCCCCCTATGCAAGGGTCTCTGCCTGCAGTTGAGGACAGGAAGAATGCTCTGATGACTTTTATATTTAAGCAAAACCCAGGGAGAATGTTATTTTGTTGACATAGTGCTTAAGCATTTGAGTGTTGGCGAACTGTCCAGGTGACAGTCAGTTGTGTGTTTTTCCAGGGCAGCCGAGGAGAAATAGGACCAGTTGGACCCCCAGGCCCACCAGGTAAACTGGTAAGTAATAGCTCCAGTCTCCAGCACTTTCTGGGCTTCATGCAAAGCGCGGTGAATTTTAAAAAATAAGCAAGGAGAGGAAAACAGCTTACAAAGGGCAATTTAATCATCTTTACTTGACTTCTATTGTGAGGTGAATGTGTGAAAATGTAAATATGGAATTTCAGATTACACCGGGGGGACCCTCAGAGCGTATTTTAATCCGTGTGGTCTGTAGCGTGCATTTTAAAGCCGGCAGAGACGCGAATGGCTGCGTTTCGCCTCTGGTTGTTCTTGGAACCGGACAGAGCTGTGCGTGAATGCTGCCTTTCACTTCTGCAAACACAAGCGCTTGTTTACGCAGCCGGAGCAGCTGACCGTCCGCGGCAGGGGCTCCGCTGAAAGGGCCGCTGTTGGGAAGGACCGCGCTCGCGACGGGCTGGGGGCTGCTCCCGGGGAGGGTGGGAGGGCAGAGCTAGGCCGACCGCGGAGTCCACACACCCAGGGCTTGTGTGCCGTGGCTGCTGCAGTAACCGTCATTCTGGGGACTCGTGTTTGCTTTTCAGGGTTCTCTCGGTAGCCCTGGCCTCCCCGGCTTGCCTGGCCCCCCTGGACTGCCTGGGATGAGAGGTGACAGGGTAAGGTATCTACTCCTCCAGGAAGTCCCTCATCTGGAAGGGTGATTTCTACTGCGTGGAGAAACCAAGCTCGCTTTTGGCCCAATGGAGAATTTTTCTAGAATTTATCATAGAGTGCTATCAAGAAAGGTATTTTAAAATACTGAGAGTTGAGATTAAGAAGCAAAAAATCTATTAATATTACTAATTTTTCGGAAAGAAAAAAACCCCGAGAAAAGCAAATATTCAAGTTACAGTCACTCATCCTATAGTTCTAAATTTACATTCCTACTAGTCAGATTTTATGTGGATGTGATCAGAGAGAGCCCCAAATTGCCAGCGATGTTTGGACCCTTGTCAGTTTCTCCATCTCTTACCTGACTCTTGGTAGGTGGGGAGGCAGGGAGTTCTCTTCCAGCACATTATTCTTACTTGTGCTTATCCTCTAGTCCGACAAGGGGAGTTGGTTCATTTGAAATTATACAGTTAAAAATCCCAAAATACTGACAAAGCCTTATATCTTGTTCATTACAGGGTGTAGTCGGTGAACCTGGTCCAAAGGGTGAGCAGGTGGGTGGCATCATTTGAATCCTGCGAATTGTGGCGTTTGACATGCATTAATGCGCCTCGCCAGCTGGAGGCGCTGGCTGGTCTGTGGGTGTCAGGGACACGGTGGAGGCTAGCAGCTTTTCTCAATATGCTCCCTAGTGAGTGACACCTAGTTTAGTCGGTCTATGGCCTTATCTACTATTTTAAGAAGCTGGCGCTAATGATGCCTCTGCCTCTAGGACTCACATTGTCCTTCCCTTGAAAAGAGTGGCCCTGTCTCTCTCATTCACCGGGTTGGTTTACTCGTGTCTGATGGAGCCTTCCATAGCCACATCGTGATGTTTTAAGTTTTTCTTTCTCAAGACCTCAGCAAATAAACTATGCATGTGAATTCAACTTAGTCCTTTCTCTGAGTTCCTTTTTCTACTGTGAGTGCCCTTTTTCAAGGATTACCTAATTATAAAATTGCTGGATGCATGCATTAATTCTTAACCTTAGCAGAAACTCAGCCTTGCCTTCTGGCTTTTCTCTGGACTGTTTCTGATTTGGACTGACAGCTAGCCTGGAAAGCCATGGAGAGCATTTCCTATTTCTGCACAGTCCTGGGAGCGCTGTGGGCGCTTGTGAATGTGTGTCAATGTTGACTGGTTAAAATTGAGCTAAGAGGCTACAAATTTTAAAATGTGATTTTTAATCTTAATTTTTAGGGTGCCTCTGGTGAAGAAGGTGAAACAGGAGAAAGGGGTGAACTTGTAAGTTTTTTTTTCCTGGTTAATCTTGGAGCCTTACCAGTTTGGAACTGTATTAGAAACACAAATTATTTCTTTTCTCTGACACTGTTATCCTCATTGCCTGCTTTAAAGGCAAGATGTTTCTCATATAAACTAACAGATGACTCCCCAATGTTACAGCCAAGGTCAGGTAAAGCAGAGGGGACATACCCCAAAATTGATAGGCCTGGCCTTGAATGTTGGGAGAACAAAGTGTTCCCTTATAGATGGCAAATTTTCTTGTGGCCTTACATCTAGACATTCACGCTGATTCTTACATGACTAGAAAGTCTAAGAAGAGTGCATCTCATGGAAACGAAATTAGAATTTTATTCTAGTTGGAAAGCTGTGGCTCACAGTGTGCCCGTGGGCATTCTCTCTGGTCTAAAACCTTCCCAACAAAGGACTCCATCTCCAGAAGATGCTGCTAAGTCTGCAGGCAGCAGGAAGAATGGGAGAGGCCATCTTTACTGCAGAACTGCTCCAGCCATCTGCTGGCTCTCCCCAAGGTTTCGACGCAATCCGACAGGACCAGCGTGGAAACCGATGTCTGCTGCTTTGGGGTGGGGAGGAGAAATTTCTCATGAGATGGTTTCAGGGAGCTTTTAGTGCAGGAAGAAATTCTGGTAATGTTTTATTCAGATTTTCAGGATTTAGAGTTACTATAAGTGTAACATCTGAATTAGGCAAAGCTTCCTAACTATTAAGTAAATTTTTAAAAAAGATTATTTCAATTTACTTTCTGTTAAAATTAGTCATTTTATGGGCTAAGAGCATGTTTTGAATCATTCTGCTTTGTAGTGGAGATGAACTGATATGCTAAAACTTGAGCTGAATTCATGTCTAGAATTAGTGGTGGGAGATTTTCAGGTTTTTTTCTAAGCATAAAAACATGCATATTTGGTCGCATAAACTTTTGAGGGATGAGTTTTAAAATATGGTTAGAGTTTCATAATGAAGTCATCAGGTTTAAATTCTGTTATATTTCATTACAGCATGATAGTTTAATATCTTCCTATTTACATATTTTAATTGTTATCCCCTAGCATTTTAGATCTGGATGGAGCCTTAGAAAGCTCTGATTCAACCCTCTTATTTCACAGAGAAGTTAGCCAAGGGCTGGAAGGTCACAGGGCTCACACAGGGTCACAAAGTTAACTAGCAGAACTAGGACTAGAAACCAAAGTTCTAGAACCTACTGGGTTTTTTTTTTTTTTTTTTTTTACGGTGCTAGGGTTTGTTTGTTCATGGTTTTCTATAGATTTCAGCAGCCCAATAACCTTTTAAATGTTTTTAGTAAACTTTCAAATGTGAATACATTGTTCTAATATAATTTTGTTTTATTGATTTAGGGAGATATAGGATTACCCGGCCCAAAGGGATCTGTAAGTATAATGAACAGTAATGGTATAAAAAATAAAAACATCAGTAAAGCTCTAGAAAATGCAGTGCTTTGCTTTACAAAATCATTCTAAAATTCAATTCTTAAAGGACTTACCTTCAAAGAAATTAATGACTAAATTTATTCTTTAAGTTATAGATTAATCCATTCCCAGGGAAAAAACCTCACAACAGTGTAAATGGATCTGCCTTTTGAACTAACCACTCTAAAGGACTTTTTTTCATATTATAGGAGGCTCAGTGAGTATGACATGGTAATTTCTTCCACAAATGGGTCATTTTAAAAGAACTGACTCATGCTTTGTGGGCACATGAGTATAAGCACATGTCATTGGCAGTTATACCACTGCCATTATTTCAGTGATTTTCTTAATCTCGTGTGTGTTCTAGGTGGGAAAGTAAGATAAGGGCATACTGCACAAGAAAATAGAGAATTATTAGAGCTCGAAGATGATCATCTCATTCAATTCGTCATCTTACCGAAACTAAACTGATGTCCTTAGAGAAGAGATGTATTTAGAATTATAGAACCAATTATAGCAAACCTGGGATGATTTTCTCATTTGAAAGGAATGCCCATCTAATAGAATAAGGAATTTAAGATAGTAGAAGGAGAAAAGATGAAGCTCAGACCTCCATCTCAAATGCCACTACCACCAGCTTCCAGTTACTCTCTCAGTCCATCCTATTTCTGGAATCTCCCTCACGCCTCTCTGTCGCTGTCCAGCATATCCTCGTGGCATCCAAAGTAATCTCGATAAAAAGATAAAGCCCACTATTTATCCATTCTATGCTTAAAACCCTTCAAGAATGATATTTTATAGACTAAAATCAGACTTTTAGCAAAGTATACAAAGCCTTCGATGAAGTGGTCTCCGCCTCTCCAGCCTCATCTCCTGCCTGTAGAACTCCCTCTGTCTGCCATTTTTCTTGCTTGGCTGGCTGCTCTGTAACGCCCTGTGCTGTTCTAGCCTGGAGCATGGTTCCTCTTGCCTTAGAGTAGCCACCTCTATGTAAGCATTCAGCGCATCCTCAGCCCAACTTTCTCCAGGAGGACCCACCCAGACTTGGTTACAGTGCGCGGGCTCCTCACACACCAGTGAGATGGAAATTGTTACATTGTATTAACTTACCTATCTACAGAGGCCTCTAAACACCATGTGGCAGTCTCAAGCTCAAGTAACATCTTTATGCCTGAGAATCTTTGACAGAATGGTTTAAGATTGAGAAAAATGTAAAGAGTAAACATTGATAGAATTTGGTCATAGAAGTCCTACTTTACTATCCAGAAATAATCAGTAATGTTCAATGATAAGAATTCAAGCTATAAAAGAAAACAGTGAATGAACAATGCAGTGGTCAAAATGAGTTAATTTCATTTAAATTTGGTTACAATACTAGAAATTAGCTCTTGATTTATCACCCCTCCCTTTCTACCCCTGTTTTCTCTGATGCAGCCCAGGTAATCCTGATGAAATTGCAGGGTACTGTCCCAGAATCAGGAGAAATAGTTACTAACAGAAGGACTTTCTCTCTCCTTGGTGATTTCAGCAGACAGACTTGATGAGCCGGTGAAGTCTGTGCCAATTTCTGCTACAGTGTCCCATTCCTCAGTGAAGGAGTCCTTTCCCAAAGAACAGGGCCCTTCAGAGGGCCTGCCATGTTGGCCCTTGATCTCTTCATCAGAAAAGTCCTGTCGCTCGTTCTAGAAATTTTCCAGACGTTGCCAGCAACATCATGCACTCTGATTGATCTCCTTTGTTTTCTGCCAGTTCTGAAGTGCATTTCTGACTTCGTTCAGAAGATGTCACAGTTCTGCACCCCAGAATTCCCCAGCCTTCCATAGACATCTAGCTCTCCCTGCTGACACTCTTTCAGGAAGTTGTTTAAGCCGTAATTTCTTCATAGAAGCAATTTGGGCAGGTTGACTTAGATGAGTATCAACGTTTTGCATAAAGAGAGATTGGGAAAGCGCCCTGGCTGAGCCTCGCTTAGCTGTGTCTAGTGAAAGCATTGCTTCATCCCCTTCTTCCCTTCAGTTTAGAGCACGTTTGGAAGAGTTGGCTCTTTCTAGATGGATGAAAAGAAGCAGCATTGGGCTGCTTCGTGAGCCTTCCAGTCCTGCACACCAGCACCCCTGGCGCCGCCCGTCCTTTCATCTTCTCATTCTTATTCTGTAAACAGCAGTACGTTGTAACTACTGTGCCACAGATGCCACCGCAGGTGGTTCAGCAAAAAGTGAATTAATTTAGTCTCTTTTAAAAGCAGTTATTGTAGATGAAGACTTTTAAAAATGCCTTTAGTGGCTTGCTTTCAGGAAAAAAAAAATCTAACTGGTATATGCTTTTGTGCTAAGGAAACAGTTTATTTTTAACCTTTTCAATATTTAGATTTTTAACTTCCTCAATACTTAGATAAATGGTGGACTCACTCTTTTTGTTCCAGTATTTTAAATGCATTAATTTTAAAGACAGCATTTTAAATGTACCATTTTAACTGTATTCATTTAGTTTATCTTAGTATTTTACAGTTCCTGGATACATCTGCCTTCCTCAAATTCTCCAAAGAATGTTATAAAAGCTAAATAACCTATACTCTTGGAAATATCTTTATTTTATGTTTTCTTCATTGATGATATGCAAAGCAACGTGTCTTGTATGGACTCGGTGGCCTTTTTGTAGCCAGAAAAAGTTAACAAGTCTTATTCAAAACTAACTGGCTCTTAGGAAGTAGCTTAAAGTATGACAGATGTGGTTTTAAAAATGTGCTATTCCAGTTAACGTTTTGAAGTAATAACCAAAAAGAAAGAGTATTTACAAGTTTACTAGAACTGGAATTCTCAGAGACCCAGTCGTTGGGTGGCATCTGTGTCTTTACCCTGAGGATTTGTAACCCCTGAATGTAGCTTCTTAGCAGACAGAATGTCAGTAAACCGGGAGTTTCATGTGAGAGCTTGTGTTAATGTTAAGCAGACGCTGTCTGTGTTACCCTGGGTGTTACAATGTGTCGTTTTATTCTAGGCGGGTAACCCTGGGGAGCCTGGCTCGAGGGGGCCTGAAGGAAGTCGGGGGCTTCCTGGAGAGGAAGGACCAAGAGGACCTCCCGGACCGAGAGGCGTGCAGGGAGAACAGGGCGCCACCGGCCTGCCCGGTGTCCAGGGCCCTCCAGTGAGTGGTGGGCAGCCCTGGGGTTTCCCTTTGGAGACTCCGTCCCATGGCAGCTGGGGGTGGGGCTGACGGTGAGGGGGCAGCCGGGCTGGACCAGACAGCAACTCCTCAGCAGCAGGGGCCAGCTCTCCTGCAAAGCCAGCCGCCGGGTCCTTGCTGAGCCTGTCAGTTTAGGAGGTACAATGTCCTCTTTGTGGTTCCGTGTGTGAACTGTCTGTCTTCTCTTCTGTCCCAGGGTAGAGCTCCAACAGACCAGCACATCAAGCAGGTTTGCATGAGAGTGATGCAAGGTGAATAACGCACAGTGGCTTGACTTGCTGTATGCTTGAAAGGGGGAGATTTTGCATAATAGTAATGTCAATTCTGTTGTATCCAGTTTGTTGCCATCCACAATAACTCAGAGCCTCAAAGAAAAATATTACCTTTCTGTCTTTGCCTGGATTTTCTTTTTTTTTTTTTTCCCAAGGGGGTTAATTTACAAGAAGGTACACACACATGCACACACAGACTCACATACAGCTTTTTTCTCCCTTTGGAACACAAATTCTCGGGATCTTTCCCTCCTTAACATCCTACACACAGTGGATCCCTGGCACTGACCTCGAATCTCTCTGTAGACTGTATGAGAAGGAAAGGAGGGACTCTGTGCCCAGAGGAAGCAAAAGGACATTCTCTCTACTCGTGAACCGCAAATGTAGAAAATCAATAGCTAGTATTTTACCAAAATGGTGATATATTTTCACATTTGTTAACCTTTATCTAAATTCGCCTGTAGCTATGACGATTGCTAGTTGTCATAGCCATTTTGGAATCGATCTAGTTCTGAAACCACACAGTCACGGAGGATGTGTGAAAACACCGTATCACTGAGTAGAACCTGTAACGGGGCCTTCTAACAAATAATTGTCTTAGTCTGGTCGGAATTGATTCTATCATGAAGAAATACTCTTCTTCTGTATGTTCAGGAGATAGTATAGTTTGTCTAGTAGACTTGCAAGGCTTTTCATAATGAAATTGTCACCTCTATATTTGAAAATTAATATTGCAGACGTTTTGTCTTGAAAGGCTATTTCAATTTTAGATGTTACATATCTGGAAAATTGATTTTATGCTAACTCTTACTTACATAAGGCAAACTCAGACTACTCGCATTTAAACAATTTAAAAATGTTGGTTAGAAATGTGCTTTCAATTCATATTCTTCTCCACACCCTAAAGCTTTAAAAAATATTACACTAGACTATTTCCTTAGAGTATTTTAATGGGAAAGTTTTCTTGTTCTCCATGGTTTTAGTGGATGGTTCTTAATCTATTTACTGGTTCTTGAAAAAGCCCACACAGTTATTAATTTTTAAGTCAGACTGTGACCATTCCCAAGAAGCAGGCTATTTTTAATGCCTGTTGTCTATTCCAAGCATGAAAAAACTTTTGAGAGGAGAATTTATAAGAAGTCACGAATCCTCAGGATATTTCAGGTTACTTATTCAAACTAAAAATGTGAGGCTAGGTCTCAAATGGTGTGTCAGTACTAATTCTGGGCAACGTCCTTGGCTTTTAAAAAGCTTCTGGACATCCACTTCTACCTGTGTTAAGAAACTCATTTTCTTCCTGTTCTGGGTTTTCAGCCAGGAAGCCAGGATTCAGGTGGCGCACTCATCCTTTTAGAACACCGCTGACCCCTAAGCCCTGCTCTCTGAGGTTTTTATCCCCCACCCCTTGTCTCACAACAGCAGGACCAAATATTTCCAGGGAGAGCTGAGTGCACAGCACCAGTGAGCTTCCTGGCAGAAAGCCCACAGAAATAGGATCCATTTTATTCATTGCTCACCACCAATTCTGAAACTCTGGTGACACATTTAGAAAAAAGGCACTTGAAATACCTCTCTTTTCATTTAAATTACTTTCATGTTTCTGACTTTTCTGGACCATTTTGTTTATTATCTTTTAGAGCATCTTGCTGAGATGGCTGCTAGTCTCAAGCGTCCAGACTCCGGGGCCTCCGGCCTCCCTGGCAGGCCTGGTCCCCCGGGTCCCCCTGGACCCCCTGGAGAGAATGGTTTCCCAGGCCAGATGGGACCTCGTGGCCTCCCAGGCATTAAAGGGCCCCCCGGCGCTCTAGGTTTGAAGGGACCTAAAGGTAAGTCATTTTGCCCAGGTGGAGCCAAGGAACACGCACTGTCCTTTTTCAGATGCATTCGCGTGTCCTGCCAAGCTCCAAATATCCCGTGAGATGAGAAGGTGCATTGTTCTCTTTAACAGCGGTCGTTGTAAAGATTAGAAAACTGTTATAGGATATGCTCTTGACCGTGCTGTATGACCACAGTAGACCATACTAGAATCAAGGTTCCTTGACTTTTAGTACTGATCTTTTTCAGTTACACTCTGCCTCAGTCACAGTTCAAAATAAACTTGACAGGATCTGGTAAAGGATCGCTCAGCTATTTTCTTTTTGAGACCCTAAAATCATTGTAGAGCTCTTCTAAGATGATAACCAAGCTTAGAATGTTTGTATCGTTACTTGAACTAAGTCAGATTTGTTAGCATGACGTAAGAAAAATTACTTCATGAATGGAAGCTGCATCCCTCTTCTTTTAAAAAGTGACACTGGATATTTAGTTTTGGTGGGCTTTTTTTGGCTCTGAAATATAATGTAACTTTATTCCTTCCTTAACATGTGAGAGGGAGAGTTTGTTTCCTCCCTTTTATTTAAAGCGTATCTGGCCTTTGCGTCCAGTGTTTTGCAGAACAATAGGATTGTGAGTGGGGTGGGTCTTCAGCAGGACTTGCGGAAGGACTGTTTGCTGCAGATGGCGTGGGTAGTTGGGGCGAGTCAGTATGTCAGCCTGGGGCTGTGTGTCCCGGGTAATTTACAGAGAGGACTGAGTAGAGTGAGGAGTCTGTATCCTGATGAGTGACTGACAGCTCTCTGGGGAACTTCAGAAAGACGCAGCATCACGAACACGAGAGGGAGTTTTATTTTTTAAACGGTGGTGCTCCAATTAGGGATAAACATTGTGGTGTGAAGGTCAGAGGGCAGGCAAGCTGCCTTTCTGGATCTCTAAATGAATTGCTGATGCATTTGGCTGACTACGCTCTCAGCTGGAACAATTTTGTTAATTATATTTGATTTTTTTCCTTTTTTTTTGGCATGTGCAGAGCTGCATGTTAAAAAACAAGCCGTAATTGGGGCCTCTTGTAAGCTTGGCACAATTTCAAGGTTTTCAGAGGCCAGATGAAGTCAAATACGGGGAGAGCTCAGAGTTCATCTTGAGGAGAACTGGATATTTTCTCTGAAAGAGGCACACAGCCACTCACGTCTGTCCTGCTTTCAGCTACTAGTTCAGGAATCGTTTCATAGGCTCGCTCTGTGGTTAGTCACCATTTGCTTTGTAAACCGTTTCTCAGACACTCTGCTGCCTCGGGCAGGTTGTTGGGCTCAAGCCCACTCCAGGCTTTCCTGAGCTCACTCCAGAGCAGCATTTCCAACACAGTGGGCCCTGGAGCATCAGTGTCGTCCGGGACCGTCTGAGGCGTGCAGATGCTCCAGTCCCCAGACTCACTGAATGGGAAGCCTGGAGGCGGCCCAGTGCTCTGTGCTCTGCCCAGCCTGCCGGGGGTTAGGACATAGCTCATGTGCTGGTGTAGAGCACCCGCCCATCTTCCCATTGGAAAGGAGCACCTTGCATGGGCTATCGAAATCATAGCCCTCATTTTTGGCTAAAAGGAAGTCCCTTTATTTGGGGCAGAGCTTAGCTTTGAGTTAGTAAGAGAACTCTCTTGAAGCCCCATTTTATTCTCCGAGAAACAAAAATGTCCGTCTACTTGCTATGCCAGGAGAGTGCCTACAGCTGCGTTTCTCAGCCTGGGCTGCTCTCCGGAATCACCTGAGGGGCTTCAGAACTCTCCAGGTCCAGGTCCCCTTCCCAGAGATTCTGACTTAACGGGTCTCAGCGTCAGGCTTTAAAAATATTCCCCAGGTGACTTTCATTTGCACCCAGGGCTGGGAACCACTGGGAACCAGGTGACTGTTCCGGGCGTTCTGGGACGCCCTTGCAGATGGAACAGCGGCTGGTGGGGTAGCAGAGGAACCTTATTTTGAAGGGAAGAAAAATGTATTTCTATATTTGGAAGCTGGATGATGTCTCTACACTGAGTTCATTCATCAAGATAGTTTGATCGTATGAGGGACTTCCCCTAATTTTCTACAGTATTTATGGCATAGTCTAGAATCTAGACGTGATAGAGTCCTTTTCTTTTTTCTAAAGGGCTTTGTCTCCCCACCCTCCCCTATCCCTGTCTTGTCATGGGGTTCTTTTAAAGCAGCATCTTCTCTCAGTTTTACTTCTGATCACTTTTTAAGAATTTGGGGTGTGGGCAGAAAGGAGTGATCAGATTTTCTTTATCCATCAACGCTGTCACACATTTGGAAATACGTGATTCTAGGTGACTTGACTCACCTTTCTTGTCCCACCACATGCGTTAACAGTGGTATTTAATAGAAAACAGATAGAGTTCTCCTTTCCAAAGGTTTTAGATCAAATTTTCCCTGAGAATAAACACCCCACCATTTGAAATTTAAATGTTTAGCCAATTAGAGAAGGAATGTGTTTTGTTGTCCCCTGTGGCCTTTTTTCATGCCTAATAAAGAAGGATCTGTCATATAGTCACTTTGAGAGTCTTTTTCCAGAGAAATTGCTACATAAATAACAAACAAATAAGTTTTACTAAAGCTTTTAACAGTTCAGGCTATGTCTTAATCAAATCACTGTTTTCCTCCTAAAAAAAATTACTCTGAAAAACACAGTGGAACGTTTTCAGTAGGAGCTAGTAGAAATGCCCCTCAAATCACACTCAAAGCTTAAGTCATAATTATTTTTGTTTTTCATTGACATGTTTTATACAGTATCACACAAATGTGTTAGGGCCAAGGCCCATGCTGCGTGTCATTTTATGTGCTTACTCAAGCAGAAACGTGAGAGGCATCGAACTGGCTCGATGCTCACTTTGCTTAGCATTGCTAGTCTTTCATGTCAGAAACACTGTTTTTAAATATTCAGGGTTTGGATTAATTTTAAGTCCCTTTGAATAAGGCTGCATATCCTTTTAGATATTTTAGTGTGAGTCGAATAGACGTGTCAATATATAAATGTACGCTTGAGAAAGTACACATGTCATAACTGTGACCAACACCTTTTAAATAGTAATCTGTTCACAGGGAGATGGAACATCAGTTACAGCTTTCAAATAAACGAAATAAATAGCAACTATGGAGCAATGAGAATTTCTTGAGTTTTAGCTACTTCATTCATAATGAGCTGGTTTTCTACTCAAACTGCATATTTTCCTTCATGCCTTATCTAAAGCCTATTTTACAAGCTTTTTATGTGTACCTTGTGACTCCTTGTGTATGTGTATTATGTGTGTTTTGTATTCATGTGTCCACAAAGGCGGACCTTTAGTTCCTTGAGCTGGTTTTTGTGCATCTTAAAAGAAGACGTGAGCAGGGTTTGGAGAAGTGGCTTAACCTTGGCGATCCAGGGAACCGGCTGCGGGCACGGTCTGCTGTGGAGCAGCCTGTGGCTTCATCTTGGAGCCCGTCGGAAATGTGTTTTTCTATGACCGATAACCAGAGGACAGCATGACAACTAAGACAGCCCTCTTATTCCTTGCAGCCAGCATTTCCAAGCTGGTGTGGCTTCACGCTGGAATGTGTGTAACTTTCACCGTTAGTGTGAAAGTTGCATTTTAATTTACAATCTTCGTCTCATAGCTTCAGAAAATATGGCACATTTAAAGATTCTCTCTCATTGCCAGCCTCCAGAATTACAGAGATATGGCATTTAAATTGCTAAGTTAACAGGAGTGCTGAAGCCGTTAGTTTTCAAAATGCTAATTGTCCTATCTTCCTAATACAGCAAGGCCACATTGATGATGAGCTTAAAGAAACCAGCTTACATGCATATGAGTTCACCCGGAACTCTGTATCCGTATACAGTATTTTATATAGATTTAAATTCTTCCGAAAATGTAGTTGATTCATCATAAAAATATTCATACAAGGACATTCATAGCTAAAATCAAAATATGGTGGCTATTTAAACATTCACTTCACAATTAGAGATTTCTGACTGACTAATGTGCGTTGTACGGGTAGTTTTCCTATTTTAGTTGCATACATGTCTTTGTTTTTTAGACGATAAACTTGACTCCATATTAAATGAGGTTTGGCTGATGGGGATGTTTGGAAAAAATGATTTTGTATAGAATTTGTTGTAAAATCATGGCACCTTCTAAAAGTGTAATGAGATAATGATGGGATACTGTGCTAATGGGGTAGGGGAATTGAGCCTCCTGCTAGAGCAGCTAACTAAGGAGGGGCCGCGTTGTTAATGAGGCTGCGGTTCCGGGTTTGGTCTCTGCAGGGGCCAAGATAATTAAGGCAACTTTGTTCCATGGCTGCTGAATCCCCAAGTTCAATCAACTGTCTTGCAAATTCACATGGTTGGTTGTAATCCAAAGCATATTCCCCATAAATAATGAGTCAGTAGTGAAATGTGGGCACTTTTGACAGCACACTTCAGATTTTGAAAATTCATTAATTTATTTTTGGTAGTACTAAATTTACATTGTTCAAGAATTTGAAAATGTATAAAAAGATATTTGATGACGGGTTTCTCTCCCCGTCGGTCTCCCATCTGCCCAGCTTCCTTTGTTCTTCCCGTTAGGTGATCGCTGTTGCTAATGTCTTACGTATGCGTGCTAGTGATGATGTACAGGAATATATGCATATATGTTTTCCGGACATCCTTTACAAAATGAAATCACATCGTCCTTTAGTAAGCGCTCTGGACCTTGCTTTTTTCCCTTAACAATATGTCTTGGAAAAGAGACAATACGTCCTTTCAAAGAGAGTCCTGGTTCTCCACAGCTGCATAGTATTCCGTTCTGTAGATGCACCATGAGGTATTTAACCCTTTAATGGACACTTAGATTGTTTCCAGTCTTCTGCCGTTACGTCAAGGCTGCAGTGAAAACGTTGTCTACATTTCACTTTTGAATAATTATCAACATCAGCTCTATATGTCTAGGATAAATTCCTAGAAGCAGAATTGCTGGGTAAAATGGTACTTCCATTTGTAATTTTGATAGGTATTGTCTAATTGCCCTCCAAGAGACTGTAACAATTTAGTCTTATCCGCAATATACAATAGTGTATTTTTCCACAGACTTGCTGGCATATGTTTAATTAAACTCTGGAATTTTTGCTGATCTTCTAGGTTAAAATAGCATCCTGTTATTCTTAATTTATACTAATTTTGTTTTGAGAGTGAAGTCAGGAAAGCCGCTTTTATTTCCCTTTAGTGACTTTCTTGCTCATGCTTTCTGCTTATTTGTTATTGTCATTGGCCTTTTTGTATTGATTTGAGTAACTCTTCGTATTTTGAATCATACGACAAAGGCCGACTCAAATCTGAGGTTATAAAATAATTCTCTTTTGTTTTCTTCTGATTTTTAAATTACATTTAATATTTTATCCATTTGTAATTCATCCTGGATTATGGTGTGAGGAATAGATCCAACTTTTTTTTCCAGTTGGCTACCCACTTTTTAACTAACACTATTTATTGAATTATTCAACTTTTTCTCACTTTAAGGTGCCACCTTTATTACAAACCAAACTCCTATATGTATTGGGCCTGTTTTGGGGTCTTCTATTCTGTTTTACTGGTCTGTCCATTCATGTCCCAAGTACCACAACGTTTTCACTGGTTTAGTATCTGGTAGGGTTAATTCTTTTCATGTTGCTTTTTCTTTTGGAGTGTTTATGGCTACTCTGGGTTATGTATTTTTCTATACAAACTTCAGAATCACCTCTTTGGCTAAAAAAATATGTATTTTTATTGGGATCATGATGAAAATTCGGCTTAGGGAGAACTGACAACTTTTTATGATGATGTTCCATCTAAAAATATTTTCAAGTCTTTGTATCCTTTAGAAATGTTCATTTTTTTTCATATTGGATTTGTGTATTTCTGATTAAAGTTATTCCTAGCTATTTAATATTTTAATTCCTATGATAAATGAGATCTGTTTTTACTACATCTTATTACTGGTTCTTGTTCGTATATATGAAAATTACTGATTTCCATATATCAATTTCTTACCTTGCTATTTTACTGAATTCTCTTATTGTTTGTAGCAGATTTTGAGTTGATTTTCTAGGGTTTAAGATATATACTCATATCACTTGAAAATGGGGATGCTTTTAACTCCTCAAACCAAATGATAAATGATAGCGCTGGAGTGGGCATCTTCCTAATGTTCTGACTATGGTGGAACTGCCTCTCGTGTCCCCCTTAGGCATGATGCCACCTTTGGGTAGAGGTGGTGTCTTATTTCATGGTAAGAGGGTAGCCATGATTCTTATTTTATTGAATGTTTATCAGGAATGCATGTTCAGTTTTTTCAAATGTCTTTTCAGCATCCATGGATATGATCACTTGATTTTTCCCCTTAGATCTGTTAGTATAATTAACTTGATTTCTGCCCTGCTACATGCTTACTACAACCTAGTTTGTAGCAACTTCATGACCTTTTGGTTTCTAAATTTTGGCTTTGGTTAAAGCTTAAAAATATGGAACTTTATTCTAATAGATATACAGAAAAATAACATTTCTCTACTGAAATGCAGGTGACTTGGGAGAAAGAGGGGAACGTGGCCCTCCAGGAAGGGGTCCAAAAGGTCTTCCCGGAGCTACGGGTCTCCCAGGTAAGCGTGTGGTGTATGTGCGGGACGAGGTGGAGGAGTCGGTAGAAGCGGGTAGTCTGAATTGGGTAACATTTAAAGAATTCCTCTTTGTTTACTTAAGCATATTAAGTGATACTCAATAATGGCTGGCATTGATTTTTCAAGGCCAACTTCCGTGAAGAGTTAAATGATCTGTAAATCATGTCTGTATCTTTTGTGAGAAAATAAGTATCAGGACTTGAATATTAATTTCTTGAATAAGTAGATGCTTTAAAAAAATTGTGTCAAGGTCCAGCCACAGTGCACTTGTTATAAAGTTCTGAAGGAATGGGGCCCTATCCATTTCCAGCCCCACTGATAGTTTCCTGTTTATTTTTTTTAACTGAAAAGTCAGAGCAACAGGAAAATTAATCCAAGTTTACAAACTATTCATGTTGCACAGGGAGTAACTGGAATTTTATTTTAAAAGCTCCTGTTGCAGACATGCTGACCTTCCAGAAACCCATATCCCCCAAAATAAACCTGAACATTCCTGCTCGGCCCCATGGATACACGCACAAACCACAAAGCGCAGCTGCGTCGGCTGAGCGACAAAGGAGCCTGTGTGTGGAGAGCCTGGGTTCCCTCACTGGGCCTCTCTTCTCTCCACACACTGGTCCTCTGTCGCTGGAATCGGGCTGCAGCAGCCTCTCCACCGGGCACTGACTTACAGCCCAGACGCAGAAGCCGCAGGCAGGGCCGCGAGCCAGGCCTGCTCAGAGCAGGAAAGATGTGCAGCCTCCCAGCAGCTTCTCTTAGAGCTGCTGAGGCGGTGGCTGGGGAGCTCCCGCGCCCTGGAGCTGAGGAGAGGGGATTCGAGGGGTCGTTCAGGAAGGGGGTGTACACGCATTTCCCAGTGAATTTGGAAAACTTGGTTAAGGGAAAATTAGAAAAAGAAATGATCATCTTCTGATTCTGCCAGAGGCTTACATATTCAATCATGGCTATAATTGCAGCTCCAAACATCATTGCTTTCTAATTATCCATTTCATTGCTCTTGGGGATTGCTTTCTCATTAAATATTTTTTTAAAAAAATATGAATACATTTGGAGATAGCTCAAACACTGCATTTCTAAAACTGTGATCCATGGGCCTGTCAAGATGTTTTCACAAACTGATAAATTTTTATGATTGGAAAAGGAAAGAATATCTGGTTGGAGCTAAAGGGAACCAAGAGAGGAAGATTTTAGCATATGGTGAAGTCTGGAGTCACTGATGGATGTTCAGAAAAGAAAAAAACAAAACAGACCTTACTGAGTGCTTTTCTCCTTTATAAATGGTAGCAGTAGGAGGTTTTAGAGCTGATAAAATATCATCATTACAATTTACTTAATTATCTCTATACCTATAGGATAGCCTTACAATTTCTCTTCCACCCATTTTGTTGACAAATCACTTAACATCGACTTGCACTATGGGCAACATTTTCCTTTATCAAAAATCGATAATGGTGTCTGGGGACTCTTATTTGCAAAAAATCTGTTGATAAACCACATTATAAGTTTAAAAATGGGAAGATGGCAGAGGACCCGCTGTGTGTGTGCAGAGTCCCAGGCCGCCACCAGGAGCGCATCACCGCCCACGGGCAGCCCTCGGAGCTGCCGCATCTGCCCTGAGCCAGGAGAGTGACAGTGCTCCGCCCGCCCAGGGGCTCTGCTGATTTGCTTTTAGGATGTCAGACAAACAGGTCCAGGCAGAATGGCAAGGTAGGACAAGCGCACCAGTGGCAGCTCTACCTGGCCCTCATCTTGTCTCCCTTGTGAAAATTGAAAATTTAGAAAAATACATATTATAGCTGGTCTTGCCTTTAATACTTCAATCTGATTTGTTAAAAATGTTATGGGCTCCCTTCTCAGGACAACGAAACCCTGCCCTGTGCTTTTTCTTTCTGCCTCCTGCCCGTCCTTGCCCCTCCATTCCTGGTACCACTCTGAAGTCTGCTCTTTCTTTTTCTGTCCTCTGGTTACATTTTTTTTTTTTTTAAAGATTGGCACCTGAGCTAACAACTGTTGCCAATCTTCTTTTTTTTTTTTTCCTGCTTTTTCTCCCTAAATCCCCCAAGTACATAGTTGTATATTTCAGTTGTGGGTCCTTCTAGTTGTGGTCTCTGGTTACATTTTAATTGAGAGGATAGTTGACATTATTGAGGGAAAAATCTGAGCTCCACATTATTTTTTAAAAGTTTAGGCTACCTTTCCAGAAGGTGCGATTTCTCAGTGCTGCAGCTCTGGGCGCAGGTGCGCGGTCGTCTCCCTCTCTGAGGGCCCGCGGGCGCTTTGCTGCTCAGCTCGCAGGCTCCTGTCCGCACTGCGAATATGCGCAGCCAGTGATTTCTCGAATCAATCAAGTCCCTGAACAGGAGCTTTTGGGTCATTCCTCCCCTAGAGCCAGTTTCTCTGAAAGTGGGCTATTTTGAGTGTGGAGTACACAATTCAGGCATCCTGGCTCAAATCTTGACTCTGTCACTTACCAGCTTTGTGACATTGGGGAAGTTACTGAATTGCTCTGTGCCTCAGTTTCCCTATTTATAAAATAGTGATAGTAATATCTCCCTGATAGTGTCCGAGAATTAAAAGAAAATGGATGTAAAGTGCTCAGGACAGTTTCTGGCCATGGTAGGTGCTCAAGAAATTTAGGTTATCAATGCTGTTATTAATGTAACAAATCCACTTCTGCTTTTGAGGTGAAGGAAGGAGAGATGGGGGCAAAGCTGGACCCTGGTTGCGCCCTCGCAGCATTTTCCTCCTGCTCTGGGTCAGCAGGAATATGTTGTTCTCCCTAGAGTCAGCAGTGCCCCCTGCACCTCAGACCTCCCCTTCCAGAACGTCTGCTTTACTTCTGATCACAGATGCCAGTCCTGGTTGGCAGCGAATCATTCTACTGGCTCATTGTCCTCTGACAGGTGGACCAGGTTTAATTTCCCTGGTTGAGCTGAGAATGTGATTTCTGGTCTCTCACAAACCTAGCAGTTATAGGATTTTAGGAGCCAGAGGAAACTTCAATAGGACTTTGTGCAGGAATGTGTCCAGAACCTTCTAGATAAATATACATCTTACCTGAAAGCAAGATCCTGCAGAACAGGATATTCTTCAACCTTCTTTGTTGTAGCTATGGTTGGATTTGAGACTCAAATTCTCCCTAATAGAAAAAGTCCATTTGATCATCCTTCTTGGTGCTGACATATCTATTTGAAAAATGTAACGAATACCTCCTTGTTTACCAGCTATCGGAGGTCCTTTGTTCTTCCTGGACAGTTTCAGTTCTCGCTCCCCCGTATCTCTCAGTCCATTCAGTGTTGAGCATCATGTGGCCCCTTGGGGTTGCCATACTGAGTTCCCTAATCTGGGCGGAAGGTGACTGTTACAGCCATTCCGTTGGCTGTCATTTGGCTGAAGTGCTCTATTGTGGAAAATGCACACAGAAAACATCAGTTTGCTTCTCACAGCCAGAGCAGGGGGCGGGTGTTGAAGGGGCCGGGGAGAGCCCTGCTCCCCCATTGCTGTCGGCTCCCCTGCTCACAGCGCTTCCTTTGCTTCTCTGCAGGACGGGGCAGTAACCAGGCCTGCTGCAGAGTCACGCAGGGGATCTGTGTATGTGTTAATACTTGCAGAACTCAGACTGGTGCCTGGCACATGACAAACCTCCTGCAAATTTAGCTGTTGTGATGATCGTCATTCCTCTTTTTATATTTGGGAAAATACAGACTTACAAGGTCCCTGGCCCTGACAAAGTCTCTCAGGAAATAAGTGATCGAGGCAAATCTTCATGCTTCCTGAGTCCTAGTTCACGTAGTGGACAAGATGATGGGCTGGCTGTCCAGAGTAGGATTCATTTGTCCTTGCCACCCAGCCATCTGACTTTGGCAGTTGCTTGATTGGGTTGTCTCCAGAAGAGTTACTCTTTGTGCTGCTGCCGCCACGCTTGCCCATTTGGGACCAGTTCCTTTGTACTCTGAGGATTTTGAGGAAAAATATTTAATAATGGGTCCTGACTTCCTCTTTGTGGATTCAGACTCACGAGGGAAAGGAGTAAGTTAAATGAGGAGTCGTGTGTGGCCCCAGGAGGGTGACTTGTGAGCTAAGATGCTTCCCTTCTTGGACGTGCAGGGCAGAGCCAGCTTTGCACTGGGCCACGCTAGGCCACTGGGCTAGGCAGGTGTCTTGTGCAAAACCTGCATACAAGTGGCCTTTGTTTGTGAATATTGAGTGGAAAAAACTCCCCAAAACAAACGGCACACTCAGCTTAGGCTTCAGTTTAACAGTAGTCATTTATCCTATTTCCATTACTATTCCATTGCTGCTATTTTATTTGGCTGTGGGGATCTTATGTAAACCAGCCTCTTTACACCAATTCCTGAAACATATATGCTTTGTCAAACACCACCAGAGTCAGCTCAGCATAAGGAAATATAAGAAAGTCCCCAGACATACAGTGGATAAACTGTCACAAACCCTATACAATGCTGAGAATCATTTGCTGGTTTTATTTTTTTAAGTCTGCACGCACAGTCCCTCTCATTCTGCAGCAGGTATTAAATCCTTCTGAATGTGCCCATGGGGACTGGCCTCCTTTGATGTAACATGACTCCCCTCTAGTGTTTGCACAGAGAATGACAGACATTCATTTTTAAAAATCATGAACTGTGTGGCGATAGTATATATATTTTTTTAAGGTACAGTTTTTGGAGAGGAAGAGTGGCCCTGAGCTAATATCTGTTCCAATCTTCCTCTTTTCTTTTCCTCCCCAAAGCCCCAGTACATAGCTGCATATCCTGGTTGCAAGTCATTCTAGTTCTTCTATGGGGACATCACCACACCATAGCTTGATAAGTGGTGCATAGGTCTGTGCCCAGGATCCGAACCCGTGGACCCTGGGCCACTTGTCCACGGGGCCGGCCCCTTGGCAATAATATTTTTATACATCCTCGAAATTGCAGAAAACAGTGTGGTCATTAGGCGGTTAGTATGGCTAACCCACTGTGAGGCCGACAAAGCAGAGTGAGAACGCTTTGGATCCGTGCCTTCTCTTCTTGTTCAGAGTTGAAAGTAGTTTATAGGTGTTTGCTGACACAGCTGCTGGACTTCTTGAATCACCTGGACTGTGACAGTGTTACCCCAAACTAGGCTCCCACAGAATAATTGTGGGGCACCTTTGAGAGCAAGTGCCCAGGTCAGGGCTCCCGGAAGCTGACGGTCTGCCACGTGGAGGTTCTCTGGCCGTGTCTGCAGGACAAACCCTCAGGAAAATGTCTTTAGTTTCCTATGGCAGTTAGAGCTCCACAAGAACTGAGACTAACTCTTGGCAATTGTGCCTCTTTCTACAAAGAACACCACCAGCACAACACACGCACACACCCTCAGCAGAGTTAGCAAATCAACGGGTGTGGAGATACAGTTAGACTGGAGTGTGGTAAAGGGCCCTCGTTTCTAACTCCACCACTGTCTGGCTATGTGACTATGGACAATTATTTAGCTTTCCTAACTTTCAGTTTACACTTGAGGAAAACAGGATCAATGATGAGCATAGCGCATGGTGCACGGCAAAGTGGAAGCATTTTCTAAGTATTGGTGATGATGATGATGGTGGTGGTGATGATGATGGTGATGATGATGACGATGATGACTTCACCCAAAACTCCAGTGGGTAGATTGTTGCGTTTGCCAAAGGGAGAATTGGGTGAGATGTACTTTACTTAAAATAAATCAGGGGTAGACAGGATGGCTTCACCAACTGTTTCCTCAAAGGCTGAGCAGGAATCTGGAAGAAATGCAGCCAGTGACAGAACCTCTCCTGGAGCGGGTAGAAATGGGGAACTAAACATGAACATCTAGAAAGCTTTCCTCTGCTTCTAACATTGTTTGTGTATTAGAGAATAAATTCCGTTAAGTTCAAGATTTTAGGCAGGAGGCTGGCTCTACAAAGGTTAAATAAAAATTTGAATTAGTTGCTAACACTGAAAATTGAGAGAGGTTTATTTAAAAACTCAGCTTCCTAGCTTCCTTTGGGGGTCATCAGAGGTTCTGGCGGCCCGTGTTCCCTCCCAGCAGCTATTGGTGGAGCTGAGCGTCCACTCTCCAGGTCAGCACAGGCCTTGGTCCTCCCTGTGTCTCCCTGACATGGACGTGGGACATCAGGAGCCGATTTTCATTACTCTTGTGCTGTCAGTTTTCTTCTAGTAAAGACAGCAGGGAATTTCTTAATCCAGGGCCGTTTTTTCTTACTACATTAGGGGTCAGCAAACTTTTTCTGTAAAGGGCCAGATTTGTTGGCTGTGAGGGCCGTGTGGTCTCTTTTGCAGTTACTCAACTCTGTGCTTGTGGTGCAAAAGCAGCCATAGGCCATATAAACCAGTGACGGTGGCTATGTCCTGATAAGCTATCTACAGAAGCAGGGGTTGCCCGTGGGCTCCGGTTGGCCCACCTGATCTCTATTAACTGCCTCTCTCCTGTGGTCTTTCGGTTTGTGGCCTCTCCTTGGGGCATTTTCTCCTCCTAATCTTGATTTGATTTTGTTAAGGCAGACCTGGTGTGTCTCAGTGGGGACATTGCTGCTGATAAGGTGCGTGAACATTACCTCTTATATGTATTTATATCTGGCTTATCTTTTACACCTTAGAAAATCAACCTTTATCAGCCCCCAGGGTCAGCAGATCTGACTCGGCTCTGCCCAAGGCAGGATTCTGCCAGCGCCCTGTCTACAAGTGCAGTGGGTTAGGGAGAAGCTTTCTCCGGGGACTCGTCTTTAGAGGAAAACACACAGACATCTCAGTATAGTCGAACGAAAGCTTATGGGATACATGAGGGATAAAGCCTTGAGATGGATAGAGTCAACGATAATCATTCTCTTAAAACTTACTGTTGTTTTATCCTATGATTTGAGTGGATCTAATTGTAAACATAACAGGAAAAATGAGATGTTATACGTCAAATGGGATCTCTAACCTACCTTCCTTCTAAAAGTATGTGAGGTATATGTGCTAAGACCACTTGATAAGACCAGACCACTATAATAAGACCAATGAAAGACATCTGTAAGAAGACCACTAAATTAGGAAAAGAAAACTAAAAACCGCTGAGAAAGAAGGAAAGGGGCCCACCCTGAGCAGGTGTGTAATTGGACATGTGGACCTGGCTGTCACCTTTTTGGCTGAAAGGCCCAGTTAAGATGGCTGAGATAGAATGAGGGTCTCTGTAAACTACATTATCCTGGCAAATACAATTTGTTTTACACTGATTTCTTATCGCCACCCTTGCAGTAATGTATGAAAGCACTGCTGGTGTGATGGGGTCAACTGTCAGCAGAAATTCCTCTTTGGTCGGGGGTTCCATGTTCCATTGAGGGGACCAAACAACCTCTGAACGTGACACAAGGAAGAAATGTCGCCGGGGAGCTTAAGCCATGGTGAAGTTCATGGAGGGGTCAGCCCCTGATGAGAAGAACACCATGGACCTTTGTAGGGCACATTGCACAGTCTCCTAAAAGACCTTAATCAATGATAGCCTCATAATTGTAATGATAGCCCCCATTTGTCTGGTGCTTCCAGGCATGGAATTTAATTACAAGGCAGGCAGTATCCCACGTTGTAGATGAAGAAACTGAGAGATTAGCAACTTGCTGGTGTCACCTATTCGTAAATGGAAGAGCTAGAACTTACAGCCAGCTGTCTGTCTCCAAAACCCTTTCCTTCTAACCACTGAGCCACACTGCTCCCTGTCCAGAGACTGATCACCTATTACAACTAGGGGACAATCCTACCAGAGTGCTGTCCAAAAGAAATAGAATGTGAGCCACGAATGTGAGTTGGGTGTATAGTTTTAAATCTGCTAGTAGCCACGTTAAAAACGTTAAAAGAATAAGGTGAAATTAATTTTAAGAATATATTTAACCCACTGTGTCCAGAATATTATTTCATCATGTAATAAATACAAAAATTATTAGTGTGAAAATTTTGAATATTTCATTGTCTTCCAAGTTCAGGTGTGTTTTCCACTCGCAGTTCACCCCAGTTTGACTTTGACACATTTTAGTGCTCAGTAGACGTACATGGCTAGAGGCTACCATATTGGGCAGCTCAGCTCTACCGACGGAAATGTGGGTTAGAGATGCTGAGGTCTCCTTCACTTTTTATTGCTAAGAAACCCAAGTCCACTGAAGAAATTTTATCATCATCATCACCCATCATTTCACATGTGCCATCTTTTGTGTGTTTCAGGTGACCCAGGTCCTGCCAGCTATGGGAGGAATGGCCGGGATGGTGAGCGAGGCCCCCCAGGGGTGGCAGGAATTCCTGGTGTCCCTGGTCCCCCAGGACCTCCTGGCCCTCCTGGTTTCTGCGAGCCAGCCTCCTGCACCTTGCAGGCTGGTCAGCGAGCATTCAGCAAAGGGCCCAGTAAGTGAAAGGCTGCCTGGCTGTCTGCATAAACCACGCCTGGCAAGGGAGCTTGAGGAGAATCACCGCCCAAAGCTGAGGCAAATGACTACCATGCATCACCTTCACTGTCATTACCCAAGTCCTACTTGACAATCAGATTTAGAACAATGGTGCTACTCGATAAATCCTCATTGCTTTCCCTTGGAGGGGAGAGAGCAGAATCGGTGGTTAAAATAAAATGAACAAAAACCCTCCCTTTAAATAAATGTATAATCCTGTTCCCAGGACCTTGAACTTTGGTGTGTTATACATAAGTGATACAGTGTGGGCCTCTGTGCCAATAAACAAAACAACTGTTTGGTTTATCTCAGTTGAAGTAGTTATTTTCATTCTTATTTAGATGTTGTCCTCAACTGTATAGAGGGTTCCCAGACTAGTTATGGGGAAACCCCACTACAGTCAATAGAATTGGTGCTTCGTGCTCCCTCAGGAAAGCACACCGAGTGACTGCGTACATCACGTGCTGGTTTGTGTAGTCAGCCGGAATTTTTGTTGAATTGTACTGTATGCCAAACCTGTTAATACTTTAAGCTCTTCTATGTGAAAACAAAGAAGGAATTTTAATATCCTGCCATGCGTTTTATTGACGAGATTATTTATTTTAAAGGTTTGAGGTGACATCTCTGTACCAAAGAAGAAATAAATACGGTTTCTTAATCTCTTGCATGTTTTCTTATAAATAATCATGTTCAATGAAAAGAAGCTTGTTTAGATTAGTGTTTAGTAAACACTGAGCTTGTTTAGATACATTTAAAAAATTTTAAATTCCTGGTATCTCTACAGGCATATGTTTATAATATTAGTGCTGTTTTCTGCAGAGAAATTAAAATGCCCCTTCTGTTCCCCAGAGGGTGTAACTATGACAGAAGTTCTTTGTGTGGATGTGTGAGGTGGTGGGGGAGAGCTTCACGGACATTTTTGAAATTCTGATGAAAGCTGTGGGCCCATATCCCAGAAAAACACACAAATGCATGTGTGCCAATGTGTCTGCAGACTGCTTCAGAGCCTTCGTGGTCCCCGAGTCTGGCCTTGCTTGGTCTCTAGGTGAGGAACCACTGCTTTCGTTTGAGTGGTTGGTTCGCTCCTTCCTCTTCCCAGCTTCACTGCTGCAGCCATGGTTTCTGTTTCACCATTTTCCTTAGACGTTCTGTAAAGACAGCTCAGCTAAGGCCCTGCCTTCTTGTCAATAATGTAGGTATTGCCTGAGCACTCAAGCAGTTTATTACTATTTACATGGTCACATTGGCTTGTTGTTTCATCAACAGCTATATAAACTATCGATCAGACTTAACAGACTCATTTTATGTCACAGTGCATATGAGTGACTTGTCCTGGGGCAGAGCACAGTGCTCAAAACAATCAATATCCTCAGTTAGTTTATAGAACTCGATTTTCTCAAGTTGGGGGTGGAGGGGGGTGAGCTCTAACTGGATTTTTGATATCAGCTTTTTTTCTCGTATGTACTTTCTATCCATTAAAAAATTTTAGCCCTGTTTGTTTGGCTAAATCAATTATTATGTAATCTGTATTTGGATTTCTTGAAAACTGCTTACAGCATCTAGTTCTGTGCTGCTGGCATGGACTGTGCTTAAGGAGAAAGATCCCAACCTGGCCACACAGCTCAGTGCCATTTACACAGACTGAGAAGGATGCTCTTCCTTCACGTGCAGTACATCATTTTTCGAATTAGAGATATGTGTTCTAGCTACTTAAAATGATCTTTATATAAATGGCAAACTTTTGCAGGTACTGTGACGTATAACCAAATAAATGCAAAGAAACTGCCTTGTCTTTTCACCAAAGTGATTTTATTTTAACTGGTGTGACATAACCAAATACAACAAAAGGAAAACCAGATAACCAAATAAATACATTTCTCAGTTCTATAATATCATATTCATAAGAAAATTAAAAAAAATAAAATTTCAAAGAACAGTTAACTGTTTTACAAATGATATATAAAAGGCTGTACAACAAGCCCCATAGATACCATAAGCAATGTTGGAAACAACCACTTACAAATAGATTAATGCAAAACTACCACATTCCAAATGGTGGGAACAATCCACTATAAATTCAGTTAAGTGAAATAGTTTACAGAATCATTAAATACTTGACTGAGATATTGCAAAGAAAAGTGCCAGCAAATTCTCTCCATGAAAGAGAGTTGATAAATATTGAATAAGACCAAAATCGCTCTCTCTAGCAAAGTAGAAATCTCCAAAACCTCTCTGAGATGTTGTTAAAGTTGGATCCAGCGTCACCTACAGCACTTGCCGAACGAGGAGAGTGCGAGTAGTTACGGTTGGTTAGAAACTGGCTTGTTACTCAAGGGCAAATGGTTTCTGATTTATTCCTAGTTAGTGCTTCCTTGGCATTTTGAGATGATTTTCAGCCCAAGTGTCTGACAGGTTGGTTAAGAACTCAGGCGATCACCTCCCAGTCTGACCGAGCACATGCCGTCACGGGCATGGTCGGGATGACTGACATCTGTCCTGCACAAGGGTGTGAATGAGCAGTCCTACCTGTTATGTGACCGATGGATTTACAGACACTTTATCTTTCAAGCTGACTAAACGGATGTTGCTGTTCTTTAGCATCATGAGTCAGATCTGATTTATTTGCACCCGGACAGAAGCTTAGTATAAACCCTTGCTGTAGAAGATCACCTCTGATCGGATTATTTAGTTTTTTGGCTATTGCAGTGTCTCAACGTATAATATTTCTGAGTTTAAAAATAAACCGCTATTGCAGGAAGGCCACTAGAAACACATACAATCATACCAATATCAGGAAAGTTTCTATTAAACATTTCCTTGTGGCCCTGGAAAAATGAATGAAAAAGCAATACTAGGAAAAAAACCCTAGCAAACCAGTAATTTTGCTGTTTACAAATGGGCAATGGACATAAATGATTTTACATACCGTTTTTTTAAAAAGAATATTTATGATCAATAAATATAGATCAAGTCCTTTTTTTAATAGAGTGAAATAACTACTTTTCAGTTGTGTATTTAGTCTATTTTAGTGAGTTTCTGATCTAGGCTGTGGCAGTATTGAGTGCATATGGCTCAGTACCTGTTAGGTTAAAATTGGTTAACATAATGATGTATGACCATCAATAGAGGTGCTCAGATGCTCTTCAGTGATCAGCTAGAGGAAGTGTAACATTGCATAACATGCCAGATCTGGTTACCAAAGAGAGAGTGCTGACTGATAGTATTTTTAGTCTTAACAAACGGCAATCTACAACATGCCTTCACATCATGCCCTTGACTCCAAGTTTCTAAGAATAAGAGAGAAGACATGAGGGAAATTGGCTCCAAGAAACTCACTTTCTTTTTAAGATTTATTTGAATTTGTCTTTGACCTCCAAGTTGAAAATGTGTGTGTGAAAGACATAAGAATATTTCTTAGAGAGCCCCTATGTAATTTACTGTATCTATATTGTAAGGGGACCTGAAGATGAGAACAGTTAAGAACTATGTAAATCATTTCCCTAAGTCAACATATAAATCCACTGGCATATTCAGATGTAATTAATTTCTGTTAAGGAAACATGCCATATGTCTAAGTTCTTATTGCCTACTGTCTTATGACTAACGATGGAACAGCTTAGATTTATGAGAGAAGTTAACTGTGATATCTCTGATCTTGCCCAGGCCCCTCTACAGCAAGAAGTCTCAAATGATTTTAGTGAGATCACTCCGTGGGATAAAAGTCACAAAGGGCCACCTGTTCTCTGACTTTTGTTTCTTATAATTCTCATCCAAAACCATTAGACTGGGCTTTTTATGAGTTGCCAGGGAGATGGGTTATAAACCTAATTATTCTGAGCGAAGCATGGATTCGTGTAACAAACAAAAGTATAATTACCAGCACAGTATAAACACGAACCCTGCAACAGACTGGTCTACAGGTTTCTTGAGCCTCGGTGTGGCTCCTGCACAGCATGTGAGTAATTTTGGAGCATCCCGTGGTTGAGACCTAGCAGGATGGAACTGAAGCATGGAGCTTCAGCCACAAGAAGATACAGTGTTAATAACTGCACCTTCGAATTCCCTGGTTTAGAGTCAAATCCTTTATTGCTGGATAAGTGACACGCTCATTATGCGTAATGAACATATAGGAATCAAGACCTCAAGGCATTATAAATCCACGTGGGATTTAGAATAAAACTAGTGCCATTCCACTTAACATGAGTATGTTGTATTAATTGAATAGTTTGATGAGGTATGATAAAGAACAAACAAGATGGGGGAAAATGCACCCTGTTATTTTTAAAATAAATAGTTATAAAATATGCCATAAAACAATCTGAATTTAAATATATTAAGACTGTGAAAAACATTTATCCCTAAAATATACGTTAAATAACATAGCAAAATAAAAAGTTGCCATTAGCATCCTTACATTCGTAAGCTTGTGTGGTTAAATAACACACACCCCTCTGATAAACTTAAATCTTACTGAACTACCCCCTAAGTTTAGTGAAATCCCCTACTTTATTAGTATTCGCTTTTGACAAATTCTGGAAGCAAATAGCTAACTCCTTGAGCTGTACCACACATCTTTCACTATTGGATCTGAACATGAAATCTTTTCCATTTAGATTTTCTTAGACTTTGGTTTTACAAGCCTGCCTTATCTTTGAGGTGAATTTTTGCTGTTCTGGGCCTACTTGTCTGAATGAGTTTCCTCTGTGCTCATGAGGTTCAATTAATTTAACTAAACTGACCAGTTACGCTGGCATGATTTTGTTGAGTAAGATGTCTGTGTTATAGCGCCAGCTACCCCACACAATAGAACTGCAGATGTCTACATGTCCTGTTTCCCGAGACTCCCAGTGTTTATGCAAATTTAATGTAATTAATGCACCTTTACCTGCCAACTAATAAATGAAAACAGTTCACTGGGTAAGTCACTTTGAAGTACGCAGCATAAAAGATCAAACTCCTTTTCTGCATCGCTTCCCCTTAGAAGCCTGTGTAATCTCTGGGAGGAAATGGTACAGAAGTGGGTACACTCCTCAGCTGGAGTATTCGGAAGGAACCCTGGGGAACAGCAACAAGAATACTGAGTGTCTGAGAAGGCGGGCACGGAGAATGTGAAAAACAATTTAAGAACAAGGGCAATGAACGAATCTGCAAGACTTTTCTGAGAATTCATTGAAAAAACTTAAGCACGTAACTTCACCAGAAATTCTCAGTCTCAGGATATTATTACCAATGCCAGGAAAATTAAAATGGTATTTTGAAAAATAGCATTTCTTATCTTACTCTTGTAAATAGTGATATATTTCTAGAAAAATATAAATGTTATACAAATCTAACTGTATAATTTTAAGTACCATGGACAATATGGAGATTTAGACATTGTGTAGTTTTAAAAATGGTCTACTTCTTGTGATAAGCTAAATACCTTTTACTTATCTGTCAAGAGTCTCTATCCTCTCTAAAAGGGAGGATGACTACTTAGGTGTTTTCACAGTAATCAGTGAACTACGAGTGTAGTATGCAAACTAACATTACAAAGAGTAAATTTTCGAGTTAACTAGGTATATAAATCCACCAAAAAAATAAAATGGAAACAGCCAACAAATCAAGGGGTATTGTGCCTGCTTCATAAAGGTACTCAAAATGAGGAAAAACAGAAATTAACAAAAAATTAACAAAACATAAGTTAACAAGAAATTATTTACAAAAGTGAAAAAAAAAAAACTAAGTGCAAAGGTGAGGGTGTGATTTAGTTGTCCACTAACTGTTTCTAGCCTGGTGTTTCTCAAGTCAGCTCAGTTCTTCTGATTCAAACTGCTCTACACACCATCTTGTGGACAAGAGGAGGTATATCATAGTTCTCAACAGACGAGAAGGACCGAAGAAAAGCTGCATCTAACTGAACTCCTAAAACATATTCATAAAGAATTATTTTATAATCCAAATATCAAATGACATCTTTTGCAGACAAGATATCTTAAGATAATTACTGAAGTTCTATAATATAAGTGACTAAAATTTTAAAGTTTCAACAATGTCATGAAATATAGAAATAAGCATATAGGATTACTTTAAAGTCATTAACTAAATTACTTTGATTACAAGGTGAAAAATTTCAAAGGTTAAGACTCGCCGTGTTTCTGTTACGGTTAGGGAAAACTGGTTAATGTCTTCAGTAGGAAGGAACAAAGAACAAACTCATGAATTAGTCTTCCATTTGTCTTTAGATTCCAGAGGCCATAAATACTCATTGAGGTCATATCTTATTCTTTGCACAGAAAGAATTCTATCTGAAAGTGTTAGCTGATCTTGGTATAAAATGTTAGACTGGAATTCAAACGTATAGGGCAAACACAATTTTAATTATTAATTATCATCAGGGCCCCAAACTATTTTATATTTTAAACACTTATGTTGTCTGGAATCCAAACAAGAGATAATTCAGGAAATTTGATAATTATTCTCGCCTGCTGTGGACATCACTGACATATGTGTGAAACTAAACAAATGCTTCAGAACGGAATAAAATGGTACAAGAGGATTGGCACCACTGAGTAATTTAGGGGGAAATTTCCCACCCTATTTTGGGGCTTAATAATGCACTTTCTTTTTATTAAAGGAATTAGGCCACTGTCAAATCTCCACTTTATTTGGTGTTGTATTAGCTGTACCAGGCTCTCTTGTTGCTTTCTGTTGCATATCATGTGCACAGAGGTGAGGCAAGAACGAGCGGTAGAGGGCAAATTTCCCAGTAGGGTGAGGGGGCTCATTGAATGTGGACACAGCCCCGCTTCTCTAGTTCTGCCAAGGGTGGCTTTAGTCACATGTGTCAGCCATGAAAAGCGAGCTTGAATCAGTGTGACAGCTCTACTTTGTAATATGCATCACATAACATTATATTTCCCCTCTCTCCTTAAATCTCCTGAATGAGTCCTAATTCTTGAAACAGGAATAAACCAGTCCAGCATTAATGGAATTCAGAAAAAGAAAGGTTCCTAAATATACAATTTGTAAGAAAGGATGCATGACATAGTCTTTGGAATAAACGTGAACAGAATTTATAAAACAAGAGAGTGAACTGAGTCTTTTTATACATATGAAAGGATTAACCCAAAGAAAACAAAGAAAAATATGTTGATGATCATCAGCAAAAAAGTGCATAAAAACATTAAAATGGTAAAATAAATACTTCTGGATTAGCAAAGAGGCAAAAGGGTAAACAACCTACTAATTAATATGAAAAAATAATCTTTGAAAACATATAAAATGTTTTGTTTTATGACAAATTCAAGTAAATTAATGAGTAGCAGATGAATAGTAAGCTTTCAGAAAATTTAACAAATTAAAGTTTGACAAATTAAAAGCTCAAGATATACACATAGCACCAGATTTTAGATTTCTGTACATTTTTTTGGGATAAATTATCATTTCACTAAGAAAATGCATATGTATATTCCAATTGTGTAAGTCTAAAACACAGCACCATTGTAGGTATTGCACAGGAAAGACAATGAAGAAGAAAATCAATTTAAAGTTAAAAACACTTGAAATAAATAAAATAACCTTGGAAAACAAAATAAATAAACTTAGAATTGAAATATACAGCATAATTCCATACGAAACAACTAAAAGGTTGCATGTATGCACAGCCATATAGACAGTACCTGACCAGCAGTTCATTATCTAATAATGAAAACCAGTTCAAATTGTGGGTGCGTTTGCAAAGAGCCCGCCGGAATCCAGGCGCGCTCCCTGCACCACTCCATTCACAGCTTTTTCCAAGGTCAGTGGGTTGCCTTTCTAAACTCATTTTTAATCAACAGATAGAAGCCAGCACCCTAGTCTGATTCAGCCAAATTGGAATCTGCACTGCTTCTTGAAGAGGTCTGGCCTCCCCATTTCTGTCATGGGAGGGCTCTGGGTGGCACGTTCTCAGCATCTGTGGGACCCGCTACTTAGATTTCAGCAACATCCTCACGCCCAACGTTCTAGAATGTCAGTTATTTTCAACCAACAGTTTCTCAAAATAATGTACAGCTAGGCAATAAAAATACCATGTAGTGATTTGGTTGGCCATCCCTGTATCTTCGTTCTCTGGTGGAGGACACTGCCTTCAGCGCCTGCTGTTTCCCTTGAAGTGGAGGTCATCTTGGGCCTGAGTGCTAGCTGCATCTTCCGTGCCATGGCTTCCTCTGCTGCCCTGTCCCTATGGCCACAGCTTCTGGAGAAACACTCTTCTCCGTAAGAGCCCTTGGGCTTCACCTTGTCCACATGCATCTGCTGACACCACACATTCATCTTTCAGAGCAGGAGGGTTTCTTTTCCAGTCGCTGCACATCCATCCTGTGTTCTGATGACCAGCTCTTATCTTAGTTTGAGAGTGATGAGGTCAGAAGGTAACGGATACCAGGGCCCAAAGACCTCACGAGGCCATTTGAGCTTCAAAAGTACCACTCCCCTGGGTGCCTTCACCACCAAACACCTCTTAGGGAAAACAGCTCTGTTTCCCAATGAGAAGCTCAGCGAAGGGATCACAGCGCTGGGTTCTTCTTCCGGAACTCGTGTGCTGTCAGACTTCATGCTCCCTTTGCACACGGTTTGCGTTCGCACCAGCACTGATTGCTTTGAGTTGAGCTCCTTATGCAGAATTAACAAAATCATGTCAGGAGTTGGCTATGGTGGGTTTTGGGCTCCGTGATAAAGAGCCTCCTGGGTTTTTTCCAAAATAAATGTTATGAAGTGAAGCTTTTATTGCCTGTTTCTAAGTAGGATGGATCTAGGATGGTATGAGAATTCTTGAGCTATAAAAAAGTAGTCAGAAAACATTCCGCTGGTGCAACGCACTCTATCAAAAAACTTGATGAAATTTTTAGCAATGATAGTAAATTTAAACACCAAGAAAATTTCAATATGTCTGAAACTTTAAAATTAAGAAATCAAAGGCCAAATACAAGTTGATGAGACTACGAAATGTACGTCACCATGAGCCTACTAAATCACAAGTTGTAATTTCCTTCAGAAGAAGAACTAACAAGATTTGCTTGTGTACTTCATAGAAAACTCTGAACAAAAATCATAGTAATGGTGAAGCAAAATATATGGAATGAATTTGGGAAAAGTCTAAAAATGCTCATATTGCAATTACTATAGGATTAGGATTTCAATTGCTTTTAATGTCTGGCCTACACCAGAAAAAAACCCAAAAACCAAAAATCAACGCCCTCACATCATGAGGGGCTGACAGTATTAAGACAGCTCCAGCTCCAGTGGTCAGGAGATATGACAGGAATCGTCTTCCTCAGGTGTGTTATTTCCCACCTGTCCGCTGACGGGCATGAGACACGGGATAGAGGCAATCTTCTGGGTTACATCGTCCACTAGGTCCTGGGGGGCCCTGAGGCCCTGGGGCCCCTGGTGAGCCTGGCAAACCCGGAGCTAATGAAATAAAAGACCCCATCAGAAGGCAGATCACATATGGCTCTTCCTCCCTCACTCCAACCAACAACTGTGGCAACACCTAAGGGCCACAGGGGAGAAGGCCTGGTTCCTGCTTTTAGAGGCTTGCTCGTGTCATGAAGATAACATCACCATTACCTGAGGTCCCAGGAAGGCCCGGGCTCCCTGGAAGCCCAATGCCAGGTTCCCCTCTTTCTCCCTTCTGTCCTCGGTAGCCTAAGTGAGAGACACATAAAAAGAGAGACACAAAAGTAAGAGTGTTATACGGCAATGCACACATGCAAGAACTACGCTCTTAGCCTGTGACATTTCTGTAATTCCTGCTTAACATGAAGAGTATATCAGTTGTTTTGCATTAGCACATATTAAACTTACATATCAACCAGATCAGGTGCAATAGGCAATGAGGATCTTAGAAATATGCCACTACTATAAAAAGTTACAAGTTGAACTCTTGACAGGGACATTTTTGGCACTGAAAATGATACCTAAATAACTCAATCATTTATATCTTCTTTCAGATAGTTATGACAAGGTGTGCGAGCTCTCTTCCATGTGAATTCTAACTGGAGGGTGGGTACAGACTAAATATAAGAGGTATATTGAAAGAATTCTGCTTAACGTGAGCACAAGATAATATGACAACAAGAACCTGGACCTCAGTCCAAGAATTAAAGGGAATGAAAGGAACAGAAACTCATGATTTCAGTAAATGACAGTAGGTGTGTGAATATACGTGAATGCACCCATCTCAGGAGTCAGTCAAGGACAAATCCGGTCTTTGTTCAAATCACTGACTATAACAACTTTATATCCTCTCTAAGTAAAGTTAAAACAGCGACCCCATGTTTTAACATGGTGGTTTGTAACTCCAAAGGACCGGGAGCTTCAACAATGCTAGAAAGCAAGAGGAGACTGAGGGTCCTTCCAAACTCACTTCCCCAGTTTAAGATGCTTTAACCAAAATGAATTAGGTTTAAGATCTGTATCCACTTTAAGAAAAAATCATTCTCATTCTTGACTATGCTTGTTGTTGCCTGAGCCAGAGCAATTTGTGCCTCTGGGAGCCCTTATCCCTGCTTCAAGAAGCATAGAACACTTCCATCTGTGTTTTATATACTAGCACCCGTGTTAAGACTTCACTTGAAGAAAAGGTTCTGTGGCTGGAAGAGCTTCCCAGCGATGGTAAATAGAGCTTTAATTTCCAACTTTTTCACACTTAAATAGCAGCCTAATGATTGCTCCTAGTCCCGAATGAACAGAGCAGTCACACAGAATCATGCAGACACACAGCAAGGATAACTGGTAGGAGAGCATCTCAGTAGGAAGTGGTAGGTCCTGACTTAGTGGTGTCTTTTATGAAGCTGTGTTACTGCAGCAGAACAGGAGAGGAGGCGAAAGCTTAATACTCTCTCTGAACAGTACGTAAGACAAATTATTCCCCATTATTGTTGATAATTAGACATCAGTTCTGAGGTTACCATTCTCAGATTTGACTTGACCATACACTGTACACATTATTATCCAAATGACATTAGCAATGTAATCACCACACAGTTACTTCTTGGCTTTGGAGGTGTGACCTGACCATAAATGTGAAAACAGTGGGAAAAACAACATGCATTTGGGAAATATTTAGATGTGCACACTGGAAATACATCCAGGGGAATATTTTCACACATTTCTATCTGAAAACTATGTTACAGATATTCAGTACAATCCCACACCCCAGAGAGAACTGTGGCCTGGCCACGCGGAACAATACCCTAAGTGGATGCACATTCCAGTTTGCAATATTATGGGGATCCCTTTTATAGGAGTGGCTTTCACTTAACACAGGTTAACAACAAGGAAAAACGTTTGTACTGAGGGTCATTTGAAAGCACCCTTCCAAAGCCACTGTTTAAATCTTTCTGTAAAATAACATGTATTACGTGAGGTCTACTTGATAGTTCATCTAGCTTCCGTGGTTACGCAAAGATTGTAAAGTTGACCCTCAAGCTATCGCAGTGAGCGCTTAAGATCACAGGCTAAAAAATTAAGAAGGAAGAAAAATAACTAAAGATACATGAACTCTGATTAACAAGAGGTTTAACAAGACTAACACAATTCCCAGTGAAGAACATATTTGCTAAAACCTTCATATTTAAATTCAGCTCTCAGGTTTTAATATAACGCAAAAATATATTATTCCGCATGGATTTCAGTGCCTAGGTATCACAAAACAAGAAACAATAATTTGTATACCTGTATGGTAGGGTAACATTTAAACTTCTGTCAAATGCAGTAATTTATTTGTACAGATCTCTCAGTGCGTTGGGTTAATAACTACCTACTATTAGTAGATACAGCTGTTGAACTGCACAAGCACACGAGAACTTTCTCTCAAATTTCCTAATAAAGACCCCAGCTCATTTCCTAGGAAGGCCGCCATAAAGCCATAGGGTCTCATTTTATAATTGTTTCACAGAAAAACTCAGCCAGGAATGCTAACAAAGTCATGAACAGCTTTCCCATTTCCTAGGATTAAGCTTTTCATCCCTTTAGGGTAGGCCTCGTCTGAAGTTTGGAAAAGGCTGGAAGGCTGGTCTGGCAAGTTGTTGGGCTTCCCAGTTCCACCTGCTAATTGACAGCAGGGCCCTTCAGTCACTTTGACACACACACGCACCCCATTTCCTACGGTTCCTGCTGCTAACAAATTTGAAGGTCAAATCTACATCAGTCACACGAGCTACCCTATAGGCCACTGGCTTATGAATAACAGAAGGTTTCCTTCACTATAAACCAATGACAGCTAAACTTTAAAAGTTTAAAGGTAAGAACAACCATTCCCTATATTGTTCTTCCAAAACTGACAACGGCACCCTGAAGGGCTGCATGCTTTCTCCTAGGAACTCCACACCCACGTGGCGTGTGGGGTCCTTTCTGAAACGGATGGGGCTTTCAAAGGTGGTGTCCGTTCTTCAGGGTTTTCACCAGGGTGGAGAATCAGCTGTCTTTGGAAAAAGTTTAAACGAAGTTCTTTCTCGTGAAACTCGCCAAAGAGGCTAAGTCTGTTAGGAGAACGCGCCTCTCTTATTCCTACATGGGAACCCAGCTGGATCAGGCTCCTGAGGGTGCTCTGGTCCTGATGTGGCACATTCTCCCTCACCCCGCAGCACGAACACTCAGGCCAACACCGCAGACCCGTGGAGGGAAGGGGGCACCCCCAGCGAAGGGCCCCTTAGCACACGGTTGGGAGGCAATGGTCAGAGACCCAAAGGATGGTTAAAATTGAAACCTGTCTGGAAAGCCTTTTGAATTTAAAGAAGACATCAACAGTCACCTCTTTGGGGCATTTAGGAAAAATGCAAACGAGGTGACCCAACTCAGAATCATACTGGTCTCTTCTCGCTGCAAAGAGGTCAGGGTCCCCGAGATCTGGTGATCAGAATCTGGGCAGGCGCAGGGCTTCCCTTTCCGCCTGAACCATGTGCTTCCCATAGTCTCATGTCACCTTTCTCCTTGCTCTCTGCGTCTCCTGTTTCTCGGAACAAGCACAGGAAACTTGTGAGACCCTTTAAATTTTTGTCCTTCCCTAAAGATAGAAAGATAAGAAAGCGCTTATTCTATAGCGCATCCTTATAACCAAACCACTTCATTTCAAATGAAAGTGGATATTTTTCCTGAAAAAAAGGTCTCAGAAATTTCAGAAGAGCCACGATCACGCAGAATCCATGCATGGGCCGCCACCCCGCGCCTTGCTCCATGCTCGGCCTCTGTTTCCCTTCCCTGCTGTATCCTCACTTCAGCCTCCTCTCAGACTCAGTCACTGTGTCGTGGTGAGGACCAACAACCAACAGCAGCTGAGGTTTGCATGGTCACTCAGGTAAAAGTTTTATACGCGTTTCTTCTTTCCTTTTCGGAAAAACTTTTAAATCTAGCGAAGCAAAGCTTTGAAGTTACATGAGAACTTCATCTTCCGAGCACTTCATGTCTACTTATCTTCCAGAGGAAAGCCCTTCCATCCTTTGTGAACTCCTGGGGAGGCACCAAAGACCACCCAGCAGACCCGCATTTTATTTTTTATAGTAAGATTTCTTCGTGCCTTTAGACAGGATTATCAGTACAGCATCACTACGGGCCAATATTCCTTAAAGACAAGTCCCATATTTTGCAAGTTTTATTTTTCTGCTGCATTTCTGGCATTTAACAAATACTGAAAAGGAGATATCCTGTGAAAGTTGAGGAGACACCTCACTGAGTTACAGGCAAGATATGTCTGTTGTCAGAGACCCTCTGGTGGGACGAAAGCTTCGTCAATTTTACTAAAAGTTGGTTTGAAAAAAGTTAGAAATTTTATAGGAAAGACTTTGAAATTCAAGAATTGCCTCCAAAAGTCCTAACAGCTTCTGCTTTCTACTTCCTACTTATAGAAGTAATTTATAAGATGTCCTCGCAGAGTAAGTGAAACCCATGAAATCCTGCGCAAAACGGAAAGGAAATTGAGAGGTGAACAGAAGCCTTGTTTCCAAAGCTTCAGGAACACTGTTGACTCCGCATTGCCTCTGATGGAGACCTTCCAGATGGCCTCCTGACCCGGGAAGCGAGCCCGGAGACAGGCGTTTGCAGGGACAGGTGACTCCAGGTCCAGAACCCTTTTCCTGGATACCCTGACTTTCCATTGCTCCTGTCCTCAGACTGCGGCTGGATGACGCTTCTGTCCAGGGTTTCTCCTCTTGGTGTTAAGAGTCCTGGGTCTTCTCGTGGCTGGAGGCCTCGCGTCTTCAGTTGGGCTTTCCCGCTCTTCGTGCAGGCTCATGGACTCTGATCCCAGAACAGAGCCGACTAGTGAAAGACGATGACTAACCACCCTCTACACAACCGAGTACAAGCAGAAGGCCAACCCGATTCTACGCCTTTTCTTCCTCCTATCTGCCAAACCTCTGTGATCTCCAGGGAAGGGAGAATAAATTGCTGTTTAGGTGAACAGAGAGATCTGCCCGTTGTTGTTCTACCCTCTGCTCACTAACCACAAGCATTGTCCGTCTCCGTCGCAAGTTAGGACCCTGACAGACCCTGTGACTGGGGACAGTTGTTGCTCTTCAGGTGAGGGAGGGCGCAGAGGTCACTTTGGGGCACTTCCAATGGCAAACGAGGCTTGAGGTTACAGAGAAGCTGTAGGAAGGAAAGTGCAGTTGGGAGAGAAAATTCATTCTCTGCATGTATGGCATTTTGGACTATATTCCTGTGTAATTTTGGTGTTAACTTTCTCTTTTTCTCGTCTATACAAGCTTTTGATTATTTCAAGGAGGGCCCTTGAGTTCTTCTGTGGTAACACATGAAAAGCAGTTTCCCTGGTCTTACCTTTCACGTATGTGCTCACTGGATTTACTGTTTCCTTGTGGGAATTGTGAACCTTCCAAACCAGGGTCTCCTTGGCCCCGTTGCTGACTGCTAGGCATATTCCTAGAGAATGGCCTTGCCAGCTTATTTCCTCAAGCTATACTAAGATCACGTCTCTTGTCAAGCTGACATCAGTAGAACAACATTTTTGGTAATTTAAGTAAAGTCTTGCTTTAAAAGTTTTAGAAACATTTGAGAAATACTCAAAAATTAAAAAATTACCATCCACAAGCTCCGTTTGAAGGAGAAAGATTCTAAAATTTCTAAAAAATATATTTTGGGCTCATATCACTACTTACAGTAATGTCTCAAGACTTTTTCCTCAGTTTCTTTAAGATGCTAAGATGGTGATTCTTGTTCTACTTACATCAATAGGGAGGCATAAACAACTCTGGGATTCCCAGATAATAGTGATATATAAGCACATATTATTGCTGTCATTACTGTAACAAATATTATTATTAAAATACATTTAGATTAGTAGATAATTATCAGCTTTAAATTTGAAAGGGTAATAGTTAAAAACCTGCTTCTAGAATGTCAAATATTAACGAGATATTCTATAACAAATCATTTTATGTATACGTATATATACTTATATACATATTTATTTATTTCTTGCCTTACCTAGGATTAGCAGGTTATAAATACTGAGCGTTAAAGAACTGGTAAACAAATACTATACTTGAAGACTTACCTTGGGGTCCGGGGTCTCCTGGTGGCCCAGGTAACCCATCCTTTCCTGGTGGCCCAGGTCTCCCATGAGCCTGAGCGGCCAACATTGCTGCGGGTAGCTTGAGCTGGGACAGGAACACAGCCATCCTCTCTTCATTGATGAAAGAGAACACAAAATATCATGTTATGGAAATACTTTTTTGTCAAAAATTTCCAAATATTTTTTACCTGAAATCCAACAAAAAAGCTATTTGGTTTTCAATTTAAGCACATCTAATTTACCAACTGGTCTAAATGCTGAGAGAGTTTTCTTGATTGGTCAAATAAAATGGGTCACACAGAGTTATATGAACACAGATGCAGACCAGCCCTATTGATCACAGGGTCTGAGAATTTTCAGCACCTCAGAGATGCAGCCGACCTAGTGGACAGAGCAATACCCTAGAAGCATATGAACCCCTGGTGATAACATGTGGAGAGGATTTACATTCACAGTAAAAAATGGTTTCAATAAGAAATTTAAGCCACTTTCTAGCAATGTTGTGAATGGTGGTGTGGTGATTTAAAATATGTTCACAAATTCTCTGACACTTCCTTCCAAATGGAATTAAGTGGAGCCTAAATTCTTTTTTTTTAAAAATAAAGATTGGCCCTGAGCTAACATCTGTTGCCAATCTTCTTTTTTTTCTTCTTCTTCTTCTCCTCAAAGCCCCCAGTACATAGTTGTATATTCTGGTTTTAGGTCCTTCTGGCCCTGCTATGTGGGATGCCACCTCAGCATGGCCTGATAGCAGTGCCATGTCTGTGCCCAGGATCTGAACCAATGAAATCCTGGGCTGCCAAAGCAGAGCGTGCAAACTTAACCACTTAGCCACGGGGCTGGCCCCCAAAATCCCCTATTCTTGAGTGTGGCTGGACTTACTTTTCATTTCTAACGAATAGAAAAAAATCAGAATTGACAGTGTGCAACTAGGGAGACTAAGTCGTAAAAGGCATCATGGGTTCCTGGCTGCCCTCTCTCTTAGACTGCTCATTCTGGAGGAAGCCAGTAGTGCAGACACTCAAGTAGTCCAATGGAGAGACCCACACGGGGACGCACCGAAGCCACCTGCCACAGCCATGTGAGTGAACCTGGAAGCGCACTTCCAGCCCCAGTCGAGCCTTCAGATGACTCCAGCTCTGGCTGTCATCCTGGCTGCAGCCTCCCTAAAGACCTTGAGCCAGAACCACACAACTAAGCGACAAGTCCCTGACCCGCAGAAAGTGTGAGATAACAAACGTGGTCGTTTTAAGCCACTGGAGTTTTGAGGGACTTTCGTATGCAGCAACAGATTACTCATACAGCACGTGACCCTTCACATCCTTGAACAAAACTGCATTATTAATAGAGAGGTTTACTTGTCGAAAAGATGGTCATTGGTTTCATATCCATTATGATTTCACTGTTTAATTTCAATACTGGGCAAATATTGTCCTTCGTCAACAACTCATTTTTGCTTTTTAAAGAAAATGTCTTATTATACACCCTCAATAGTATTTATGTTTTTCTGGTTCGATTTTCAGTTAGTCTGTCCCAGTTTTCAGCCAAGGTTTTAGTAGGAAGAATGTCTAATTTGACCAAAGAAAAAATTCAGCATTGGTGCGGGTGGGCACGCCCTCACTGAGTTCCAGTTGTAGACAGAGAGAACACAACAAAAAGTTTCTCTACATTTCCGTGGACCTGAAGAAAACGCTGAAACTAAGAATACATAAGTTACGGGCAGTTGATAAATTATCCAGGACATCTAAAAATGTCAAAAAAATTTTTTGTAAGTGTTGAGTGATGTGACCTTTATGAATTGAATACTTCCCAAATAAGCAATGCTGCCTTCTCAAGGAACATAGCATTGTCACTTGCCCTTTTCTTCATCCCCCAAACTGCCTGGAGCCCAGCACTCTCTGTCTGGGACCTAAAGAAAGAGTCTGGGAGGGAACAGAGGACTGTTTAAGAGGCCTCCTCAAGGTGAGCTCGGTCGTCAGGCCATGAGAATATCTTCATAGGTGGCATGCAACTATTAATACCTAGAGACTTATTACTAAGTCAACAATGCTTTTGGACAAAAGTGAGTAGACATTATAGAACATTGGTGTATTAACAACTCATGAAATTTAAAGGATCTGGAAAATGAGGAGTTCAAGGAAATGTAAATATGAAAATATAAATAAGAATTTTCATGGGGCTGGCTCTGTGGCCGAGCGGTTAAGTTCGTGTGCTCTGCTTCAGCGGCCCAGGGTTTTGCTGGTTTGGATCCTGGGCGTGGACACGGCACCGCTCATCAGGCCACGCTTCCGTGGTGGGAGTTGGGGAGAAAAAGCAAAAAGAAAAAAAGATTGGCAACAGTTGTTAGCTCAGGAGTCAATCTTAAAAAAAAAGAATTTTCACTCAAATAAATTCCTAAACAAGACATATTATTAACTAAGTTAAATATTCTCTGTAAGTGCCCTACGTTGGGCATTTTATCCTTTCTGCATTAAAGTGCTCTTGTTCAGGAATCATGAAGAGAGCCTGAAAGAGATGATCATTTCAATAAGAACTAGTATCCACGTCTTATAAGCCCCATATACTGTAAAGATTATCTGCTAGTAAGCTTTATTTTATGACTAGAAATCTGTATATAATATAATTGTAAGACATTCCTTCTCAGAATTCCTTTTTTGAATAATCATTCCAGGATTACACACATTATTATAGAATTCTTGGTTATTAATTCCATATAGGCCGTGGTTCAGTTAAATTTTACCTCAAAAGCATGTTCAATATTTTACCACTCTGTGGAATTAATTTTGGTTAAGTCATTAATGCAAATTCACCTAAAGTCTGTTATAAATATGCTATACCATGGATTTTTTTATTTAAACGTGCATGGTGTTTATATTTTGTATATCTCACATTTAACAAATCTAATAACTAGATATATATAACACATAACTAGATTTAAAATAGAAAACTCGAAGAAGCCATCTCCTTTCCATGACAAAAAAAATTAACCACACTGTTTCATTTTTCTTCTTTTCCCATATTTTTCTTCAAAAAGCAAATTCAAATAATTTCATCTGTAAAACTAACAATTTTTCAAGGATACATTCAGTGTGTAATAAGAAATAAATCTTAAATTTGAAAAATTCAGCATAGGTTTGGTGCAGACAAGTCTTTCAGAAAATGTTCTTACTCATTAAATTAGTGTTTATTTTGCAAGTAAGGACCAAAGGAGACAACATTCTAGAAACTATAGCTCAGTTAGAAAAGACAGAGGCCCAATCGTAAAGACCATATTAAGAATTGCTTCAATTTTCTCCAGTCTTTCCACTCACTTTAGTTCATTTAGTTGAACTGTAAAGGCACATTTCACTTAAACGGATATGTATGTTTTACAAATTTCTGATAAAGAGCAAATTACTCCCGAGCGAAATTCTATTTTTCAATGAGCTTTCAATAAAAAATTTGTTTAAAAAAATGTAGTCCATACACTGCTTAAGAAAGTAAAATAAATTTTTTTCAAATGGAATTATTAAGGGAAAAGCCCCAATAAACGTGGAGTATTAGCTGTAGTTGTCACAAGAGTGATCGCCCTCCACTCACCCTCTCAAATCACAAAGCAAGCAGACTGAAAACATTCCAACATCCACAGGGCCAGGATCTCCGGCTGCAGACTGATTGACAGTCATGGTGGGAGACCAATGGGGATCTTATGAATCATCGCTAAGAGTGATAGTAAATCACTGCCCTTCCAGTAAAACTTACTACCTGACTGTCCACCTGCCACATGTTTGGTTGATGTTAATACATTTGTTTCCAGTAACAATAGATAAAATAAATTTGCAATTAATGTATAGTTACAATTTTGCAAATCATCACACTGAATGTAGATATAACACCTTTATTACATTAAATTATAAACTGGGTTTTTTATGAACAAATATGAACTTCAGTGATCACAGTTTGAAACTTTGCATACTATTTGTGGCTTTGCACTTAAAAGAGAAATATATATTTCAGTACAATTTTCCTTAATTTGAGACATATCTCTTCAAATACCTTTAATGTCTAAATGCAAATATTCACAGTACTGATTTTTCCTCTTTAATATATGGATTGAATTTACAGGTGATTTGCTTGGGTGATTTTTAATATTTTGAGTAAAAATAGAATATTCTTTTAAATAATTACATCTAGCTGTACATTATCTAGCTTCAAGATACACTCAGAAATAGTCATTTAGCATAAGGGTAATTACTTCTTCTGAACCCTGCTCTAATGGTCTGTAATTTAAAATAAAATGTTTCTGAGCCTCTAAATGATTTGTAAAGACCTGTATTCTTAATTGCCTTTCCTCTATTTTTAGGGATCTTTGGTCAATTAAACTGTTTTTGGCTATGCTTTCGAATGAGGCAGGAAATTGAAGAGTTCGATAGGAGCTTGCATAACCAAACACACACGTTCCGCCTGCCAAGGCAAACCCACAGCAGTCATTCTGACAAATAAGACCAACGGCTTGCCTTCTTTGGAGAATGGGCTCGTTAATATAATGCAGACATTAATATTAAAGTGATGAAAAACTATATCACACAGAGAAGGAAGGGACATTCAGATGTCATCTGGCCCATGTCCACCTTCTATTTCACAGATAGAATTTGTAAATATTTTCAAAGAGAGAAATTCATCTTTTTCTCCTAATGCCCATTCAAAGGCGTAATTGCCCTTTTTCTTGGTACAGCTTCAACTTATTTTCTTTTGTTAGCCCATTATGGAAACAGAGTCAGTAATGAGTGCTTCCTTTGGGAAATCAGTCATATATTTGATAGTATTGTTACCTCAGCCTTCAGGTTAAATAACCTTTACTCACAGGTTTGGTAATTTGTTTTGTAAATCACTTTTTGGTTCCACTATTCCAGGACTTTTCAAACCTCTATTAAATATGGAAGCCAAAATTAGATACAGTTCTCTCCCAAGGGGCAAAAATATAAGAATAATTTCCTTTTGTATCTTAATTACTTTCTAGTTCATTTTAACCGTCAACTCAACAGAATCATTTGGTGGATTCATATTCCTTTTGCGGTAATCGTGGCCCAAAGGTTCTTACTGCTCCCTTTATCTCTGGCTCAACCCTCTGC